TGACTGCAGGAGATCAACTACAGGATATGTCTTCATGGTTGATGGGTTCACATGCAGTTGGTCTTCACATCTACAGCAAATGGTGGCGAATAGCTCAGTAGAGGCTGAGTATGTGGCTTTGGCAGCAGCTGCCAGAGAACTATTGTGGGCCTCGATGTTCCTACAAGAATTGGAGCAGCCTGTGTCAAGGACAACTGGAATCCATGTAAGTGCTGAAACATCAATCATCCACTCTCACAAAGGGGATCTGGCCTTCAACTGAAATGTGCCAGTCCTACACAGTGATTCATTGGGGGCTAGAGCTATTGTGAATGACCCTCAACACTTCAAGAGAACAAAGCACATCGACATCGCTCACTTCTTCTTGTGTGACAAAATTGCAAATCAATGGCTCATGATCACTCCAGTTCAAAGCTGTGACAACTTAGCTGACCTACTGACCAAGCCACTCACCACACCAACACTCATGCATCTCTGACAATTGCTCAGATTAGTGGTATTAAAGGAGTACACCAGATCGAGAGGGGGTGCTGAAGAAAACGATCCGATGAGATACAAGGGCAAAGTAAATTGGGATAGCAGGAGATTGATTGGATCAAGTAAAATAGATCCAGCGATGAACCAGATAAAGACGATCTGATTGTAGATTGTCAGGGGCCAATACTGCAAGAATCAAGGACAACGGAGTACCACTTGTTGTCATAGCTGGTCATGAGGTAGGATACTCCCACTCTTGGGATGTACCAGGACTTTGTATATAGATCAGACAGGGAGCTTGAGGCACCTACCACACATTCCTTTAGTCAATTTAGTATATGTTTCTGCCTTAAAAGAGTGATGACATTGTACTAAGACTATCCCCAATCACCAGTATCGGGACCCAAAACGGTGTCAAAGAGTTGTATTCTTCAACAGATATTGCTGGAGATTGCGATCCAGTGCGACGCCAAAGGATGACGCGGGGCCGATCTGATCGGAGATCAGGCAGAGCCGATCCGGTTAGATGACTGATCTGATCAGAGATCGAGCCGAGCCGATCTCACCAGAGATCGGGTGCAACACAGTCCCGCTCGTTGTCATGGTAGATCATTAAGTTGGAGTACTCCCACCTTTGGCATGTGCCGCTCACATGTATATATCTCTCACAGAGAGCACTAGGCTCTCGCCACATTCCTTGAGTCAATTGAGTATATATGAATTGAAGATTTGCAAGTAAAACGTGACCGATCGGAGCCACTAGCAAGCTCACGTATACAGCTGTGTTACTTCTTGAAAATGCTTAGTTTTCATAGAGTGGACCTGAATGACAAACACATATATATACTCCATTCGCCACTCTAGTGATGCCCAAAACAAGATGTGTCACTTCATCCATACCCCTGCATTGCTATGATACTGGGTGCCACCAGACTGTCGCCATGACAACTACCCCTTACTTCATTGTGTTCCTTGCTTATGTGAGCTCCCTGCACTTCAGTGTCTTGGCTGTGACATGTGCATATTGCTTGAGATGCCGATGCATCTTCAACTCCCCCTTTCAACGGGATCTCCAAGCCTATCATCCTGGCCAATCGTGAGGTGTTGAGACCCTGCAGAGGCTTTGTCAGAACATCCGTGATGTTGTTTGCTGTTCTGGTGTACTTGATCTCCATGTCACCCCCTTGCACGTGGTCACGGATGAAATGGTACCATGTGTCGATATGTTTCAGCTTCCAATGTTTGGCTGGGTCCTTACTCACCTGAATGCACCCCTGACTGTCTGTGTGTAGTATGGGCTGAATGTTCATGATCTCCAAATCCTGGAGCAGGTAAGAAAAGAACAATGCTTCTCTCACTGCTTCGGAAGCAGCAACGAACTCAGCTTCAACTGCCGACAATGCTACACACTTTTGAACATGTGACCTCCAGCTTACTGGACATCCATATACATACATTATCAACCCTGAAGTACTCCTTCGCCCATTTGTGGGGTCAGATGCCCAGTTTGCATTGGTATATGTCATTACCGGTGCACCCGAGTGCTCATTCGTCGACCCTCCTAGATGCAATTGATACCCACTTGTCTGGTTCAGGTACTTCACGATGTGGATCGCTGCCTTCCATGTGCTGTTGATCGGGGTCGACATGTAACATGCCAATATGCCAACAGCAAAGGCAATATCTGGTCAGGCTGTGTTTGATACCCATAACAGTTGACTGACTAGCTCTTGATATTCCTTTGCTTGTTGAGGTTCACATCTCTCGCCCCCAGCAATGTTTGCTATGCACAACATGGGTATCCAGGATTTTCCACTTGCTTCTCTTAGCCATTTGTTCACCATTGCTTCAATATATGCTGTCAAATCCAGAGATACCCTCTTCTGTTCTCTATCACGTGTGATCTTTACACCCAGAAATTCTTTGATCCTTCCATTGTCTTGTGTCTCCCATTTGTCCATGATTTCCTGCTTGGTGCAATCTACTTCATCATGACTGGGTGATGTTATTAGCATGTCATCCATGTATGCTGTGATGATCATAATCTTGTCGCCTGTCCCTCTTGAGTAGAAGCATGGTGTGCTTGGCATGCAATGGAACCCAATTGTCCAGAGATGTGAGTCTAACTCAATATTCCATTCTTGGCCTGATTGTTTCAGACCATACAGACCTTTCACTACCTTCAGGGCCTTTCCAGATGGTATTTTGATTCCTGGTGGAGGCTTGAGGTATACATCATGATGTATGGTAGAGTTTAAGTATGCCTGCTTTACATCAATAGAATCTATTTCCCAATCCTGTGTTGCTGCAACAGTGATCACCCCTCTGATGGATTGGATGGGTGCCACTGGTGTGAAAACCTCTGTGTAGTCAACCCCTTCATGTTGAGTGAAACCTTGTGCCACAAGCTGGGCTTTGAATTTTGTTGGTATGAGGTTTGCATCCATTTTGATCTTGAGTACCCAACATGTGTCGACAGTGTTTGCACCCTTTGGGAGGTCAGCAATCTCCCACATGCCCATTGCTTCCAATCCATCTAGCTCTTTTTGCATGGCTTCTTCCCAGTGTTTTCTATCCTCTCCACTCATTGCTTCATGTATGGTTGGATCTAGGTTCCTTTTCTGTTCCAGTCACGTCACCATGAGTCCCAAGAATTCACTGTCAATTTGAGTTTCGGCAATTGGTTCTGGTTCCATCATCTCCGCTGTTCCTTCGCTTGATCTCTCTTCTGAAACTGTCTCCATATCTATGTATTCTTGCAATGGTTCCTCATGTGCTTTGTCAAATATATTTTCCTCGTTGTACCCTAGGTCTTTGAAATCCTCCTCTGTCATCATCGCTGGAGGTGTCTTCATGTCAACTGGTCGCCACTCCATCCTGTCTGACCAGCATTTGGATTCCATGAATTTAGCTGAATTGCTCCAAAAAATGTTCGGGCTGTAGTCTGGGCTGTAGAAAAGCCAGCCCTTTCTCTCTAGACTGTATCCCAAGAAAATGGATGTGATGGCTTGCTGGTCTAGTTTCTTATTGTCCCGTTTGACTTTGGGTATGTTTACCCATGCCAGACAACCAAACACTTGTAGGAGTCTCAAAACTCGCTCTGGCGACTTGCCAAACATTGCTTGATAAGGGAACTCATTATCAATGCTTGGAGTGAGGTTGATTTTGAATGCTGCAGCTCTGATTGCATATGGCCAAAACCTCTTTGGCAGTCTCCTCTGCATTAGCAATGTCCTCATTTTTTCTCCAAGGGTCCTGTTCATTCTCTCCACCCATCCATTTTGTTTGCTGTTGTACCCCATGGTGGTTTGCCACTCTATGCCCTTTTCTAATGACCACTCTAATGCATCGTTGCTTTTCCATTCAGTTCCTTGGTCGGATCAGATTGCTTTTAGCTTCTGATCCATCTGTGTCTCCAGGAATGAAACAATCCTTTTGAGTTGCATGAATGCATGACTCTTTCGCATCAATGGCTGTGCATACACATATTTGCTATGATCATCGATTAGCACCAGAGTACATGTATACTCTGTCACATGGGACGAGTCTATTATTAGGTCAATGTGGATGAGATCCAGGGGCCCCACAGCTCTTTCACCGCTACCTTGCCCCATCCGGGCACTTGTGCTCTTGGATTGTATGCACTGCTCACATGTCAGAGTGGTGTTTGGATCCAAATGCATGGTATGTTTATTCTTTAATTTACTCATGATCGTCCTGGCTTTGTCTCTTCCTGGGTGTCTGAGACGCTCATGCCATAGTTGTTCCTTTGAAACTTTCAGTTCATTCTTAATATGCTCGAACTCCTCGTCAACACCTTCAAACAGTGATGCTGATGTGGCCATTGCACTTTCTTGCCATGTGTTGCCTTGGAACTCCAAAAGTCCTTGCTCATGATTCTTTGCAATTTTAAGTGTCATGCTGTTTGTTAGAATGATCTGGCCACCAGTTGCATCCAATGTCACTTGTGCTCCTTCATCTGTTAATGAGTTCGTTGACAGAAGGTTAACATTAAGGTGCTTCACATATAGTACATTTTGGAGGGAGATTTCCCTGTAATCTGTTGATATGCTTGCATCTCCTATAGCCACTGCTTCCAAAACCTCACTTCTGGCAGTAATTATCCGCTTTTGGCAAGTTCTTGGGTGGATGAGCATGCTACAGTTGTTTACCATGTGATAACTTGCCCCCGAATCCAAGATCCAATGAGCTGTTTCCTTGGTGTTTGGGGGGTCTTGTGAGAAGGTGAGGGAGCACCACATTTCCTATTTAGGTTTGGCGAGGGGAGAGTCTTTGGGGATGGTGACCAAAGTGTCACATTGACTAATGCCATGTCCCAGTCACTTGCAGATCCAGCATCAGATTTGGCATGATCTTCCTGCATTCCTTGGGCTTGTATGGCTATTGTCGACTTTGGCCTTGGTCTCTCCAGTCCATTTGCTTTGATCATCATTGCCAGTGGTCTGAGCGCTGGCTTGGCGGGGGTCAATCTTTTGCATGGGGATGCTCTCGACGGCAGTCTGTCAGATGCTCAGTGTGGTGGTGAGGGTGTTAAAATCAATTTGATGGACGGTGGCAACTGTCTCCTTGTACACTGGATGCCGGATCATGCATTTCTGCAGAGCCGAGAACAATGTGTCATCAGCAAATGGTTTGCCGAGGAGACTACTTTCGGTCTGTATTGACCAGATCTCTTGAATTAACTTTCTAGCATCTGAGTGAAACATCTTTATATCACCGAGCTGCGAGATGAGCACAAGTCTGTGGGATGTCTTGATGGCTTCATTTGTAAGGCTGTTTTCGATCTTTCTCCACACTTGGTTAAAAGTAAGATAATCCTTGATTACATCTAGAACAAGGTAATTTACATTGTGCTCTCCAGTAGTGTCGATTGTTCCATGCAGGGCATTGATTAAAGCATCATTGAGGGAGTGGCTCCATTTCAGGTGCTTCTTGTCATATGTTCCCTCGAGGTGTTTCATTGCATGTGGGACAGATCGGAGGAAGGACTTTACATGGGCACTCCAACTGTGGTAGTTGCATGACGTGAGTTTCAGCACTGGTTCTAGGAGCTTTGCTAGGGTGCAAAAGCTATATTGCCTGTTGCCATCATTGAAGTCGGAGTCAGAGTTGGCATCTTCGTCGGCTTCGTTATTGATAGCCTCCAGCTCATTTTCATTTGCAGTGTTGTTGTCAACTTGTGCCTGGGTGGCCTTGCCCTTTCTGGTCCCTTTGGTCTTCGAGCTTGTGCTAACCTGGGTTTCAGTGTCTTCTACCATGTTCTGTTGATTGTCCCAGTTTGCTCGGATGGTAGTGCTTCAGACTCTTAATCAATTGAAGATTTGCAAGTAAAATGTGACTGATCGGAGCCACTAGCAAGCTCACATATACAGCTGTGTTACTTCTTGAAAATGCTTAGTTTTCATAGAGTGGACCTAAATGACAAACACATATATATACTCCATTCGCTGCTCTAGTGATGCCCAAAACAAGACATGTCACTTCATCCATACCCCTGTGTTGCTATGATACTGGGTGCCACTGGACCGTCACCATGATGACTACCCCTTACTTCATTGTGTTCCTTGCTTATGTGAGCTCCCTGCACTTTGGTGTCTCAGCTGTGATGCGTGCATATCGCTTGAGATGCCGACGCATCTTCAACTATATGTTTCTGTCTTTTCGCAGCAGTGACATCGTACTTAGACTCTTCCCGATCGCCAGTATCGGGACCGAAACGACTTCAGTTTCTAACAGATATCGCAATCGATGCTTGTGATCAACGCTGTTCGCCGCAGGCTCTTCAACAAATTCGAAATCAAGCTGCGTCAATTCTGTCCCGAGAGAGGAGTGATTAGAAATTCGGAGATCCATTTGGAATTTTTAAAGTTCTCTTCACAGAAACTGGACCTGAACGGAGCCCGTGTTTCGCTCCAGTGAGTTGAATGCGGGCACACACACACACGACAAAGCTTTGAGTCTGACTTTTGCTCAGACACAGAGAATGAGATAGAGTTGGTGGACCCCTGTTCGATCGCCTTGCGCATTCGCACATTTTGCAGGTTGCAGACACTGAGAATTCGACAGTAGCTCGGCTGCCGCCGCGCATGCAATTTTGGCGCAGTGACTTTCTCAGGCTTAGAAATGGCAGAGTGTCGTTCTCTGGGCTTCCACTCGCTGTTAGTCACGCCTCCGCTTTTTAACCTTTACTCTTCAACACCATCCTCCATCCCCTTTTCCACACACAACTCCCATCTTCAGGGTTCCCTCTCTTCCACCACCACTCTACCTCTTTTGAGCTTCGCTTTCGCTTTCTCGCACTCTTCTTCTCTCCAGTCAGGTCCTGCTCCTGATCCACCGCCGATTGCAAATAGCTTATGAATATTCAAAACCTCTCCAGTTACGATCCCTTCGCCGATCTCGGCGACGAGTCAAAGTCAGACGCTACCCAGGCCGTCAAGAAGCAACAGACCCAGAACTACGTTCACATCCGTGTCCAGCAGAGGAACGGTCGTAAGACTCTCACCACTCTTCAGGGACTTCCCAAAGGTATGTGCTATTGACTCTCACACCAGTCCAATCGTTTTACTCTGCTTTAGCGCTTCACTGCTACTCTGCACATATACTGACCTTTTCCGCTCCATTCTGCATTCATTCCACATTTTCCTCGAACCTACTTGCGACTATATTCACGTCCGATATCCTTCTCGCTCCGCGTCGACTTCGTTCCGTATCTCATCACTTTACTTTCGCCACACAATAGAGTATGACCAAAAGAAGCTCCTGAAGGCTTTCAAGAAGGAATTTGCATGCAACGGTACCATTGTTGACGACGAAGAGCTTGGTCAGGTTATCCAGCTCCAGGGTGACCAGCGTCAGAAGGTTGCTGCTTTCATCGTTCAGGAAGGTATCACCCCTAAGGCCGACGTCAAGGTGCACGGTTTCTAAAGTGCTTCCCGCACTGCCTTGGGCATTTTCGCGCGCTCCTCGACTCTCCCATTGCCGCAGCGTTGTCGTAATGCCCTTTGTCGCATGCTCTCCCTGACAGCATCATCTCGCTCGACCTCCAGCATCTTATCGATCTCCTTCCATCCTTCAGCCTTCGAGTCGCGCAACATCACGCTTCGAATCCCATCCTGATTTGCGGTCTCGTTTGCACGCCCTCGACCTCAGTACTGCTGTTGACTTTACCTCATATCGCCCGGAAGCCGTTAATTCCCCGCCTTTTCACATGTTCGTATCGACCGACAACACATTGCTCATGACTTGCTCATCGTTCAACGAAGCGGGGCCATCACGCCTACCGCAGGCGCTTTCGGCTCTATTCCGTCCCAAGACATGCGTGCGTCAGGCCGACTCGCTTCCCGCTCGCCGGTCAGCAGTCCTATCTTCTTTTAGCGAAGCCGAAGACTCTGACGATGACACATCCAGTCGTGTCGGCTCTTCCGATTGCAGTATCGAGTCGGAAAGCGATCCCGCTTCTTTGTTCGGTACCAGCAAATTCACATCAGCAGCGTCACATCGATCAATCCCCTTTTCCATACGCCCAATGGCATCAGAGATGGTTCGCCCACCAGAGGTGTCAAGACCGGCACCACCGGAGTGGTACCCAGCTCTCATTTTTTGAAGCAATATGATCAAACCCTTTCCCCTGTCCATCTCTAGTCGTGTGGACAGAGCTTTCGTTTTGACGTGACCTTGTGTGTGTCTTATGTGGATATACTGATGAAAGCGGCGGACCACGATAGTCTGCTTAGTTTGACAATCTATCTTGTAGCGCGGACGGCGTGACGCATCGATGGGTCGCTAAGGATGACACGGGGCTGATCACTGCGGCTCAAGAAAGCCGCTCACTTGTGTGACCATTCACCACCAAAGGCAACAATTCAGATTCGGCACAGCATATCGACGGACATCATTCACTTGAAGATCCGAGAAGGTTTTCGTGCACCATTATTTGTGTATGTAACAAGAACATGGCTCTGTTCGACTGTCCATTCAGTCATATAAGCATAAACAACATTTCTTGCGGGGATAGCACACATCGTTCGAACCGGCACAGGCAGCAGCAAAATAGCTTGCTGCCAATGCGAAGGCAGAACAGCGACATTTACGACCTTACGCGGCGCTATTTTCATCCTGTAGCTCACTCAGCAAACTCGCAGAACGCTCACTACAGTAACGACCCACTCTAATGTCTCTACAAAGTCACAATTTGATTCGAACGATATCTCGAAACATACAACGAGCAGCTCAAAAAGAAGCAGACCCTTCACTGATCTCTATTCCTTAATCCCAGGACCCAACTTGAACTGCGCATCAGTTTTCTCCCTAACTTCCTTCACCGTCACACTCTCCTGCAAATCAATCAATGTCAAACCACCATCTCCGACCCTATCAACATCGAACACGCAAAGATCCGTAACAATCCTCGAAACACACCTGCTCCCCGTCAGCGGCAGCTTGCACTCAGCAACGATCTTACTCCTTCCGTTCTTATCCACGTGATCGCTGACCACAACAACCTTGGTGTTGCTTGGGTTGGAGACCAGATCCATTGCTCCACCGACACCGGAAACCTTCTTTTCTGGGATCATGTAGTTAGCGAGATCACCGTTAGCTCCGACTTGGAGAGCACCGAGCATGGTGACGTTGATGTGTCCACCACGGATCATGCCGAAGGATTCGGACGAGTCGAAAGTGGATGCGCCCGGAAGAAGTGTAACGGTTTCTTTGCCTGCGTTGACAATGTCTGCATCCACAGCGGAGGAACTAGGGTATGGACCCATACCGAGAATACCGTTCTCGGAATGAAGCACCACATTGACTCCTTCAGGAAGGTAGTTAGGAACAAGAGAAGGCATACCAACACCAAGGTTGATGTAGTCTCCATCCTTGACCTCCTTAGCAGCACGTTTTGCGATCCGGATGCGACGTTCTTTTGCTTCTTGCTTGGCTGCATCTGCTCCAGCGTCGCTCTTGTTGGCCTTGGGAGCGTCAGAAACGGTACGAACTTCGATCTGCTTCTCGTGGGTAGACTTGACGATCCTATCAACAAAGATGGCTGGGAGGTGGATCTCTGAGGCGTCAAAAGTGCCAACAGGGACAATCTCTTCAGCTTCGATAATGGTGATCTTTGCGTTCTTACCGAAAGGAGCGCTGAAGTTGTTAGCAGCATACCTGAATACTGCGTTACCAGCCTCATCGACCTTCCAAGCGTGAATGATAGCTACGTCGCCGTAAATAGCTTCTTCTAAGATGTAGTTCCTTCCGTTGAAGCTCCTCTCCTCCTTGGGTTTGGCCATTTCAGCTGCCTTGGGAGGCTCTTTGCTGCCTTCCTCTCTTGGCTCGTACCTGACAACCAACTCTCCAGTCTGTACAGCAGTTCCGTATCCCGTAGGAGTGTAGAAAGCAGGAATACCGAATGCGCCAGCACGGCACTTCTCAACCAAAGTTCCTTGAGGTGTCAGCTGCAACGAGACTTGACCGGTGAGATATTGAGACTCAAAGTACTTATTCCCGCCGATGAAAGAGGAGACCATCTTGTTGATCTGTTTCGATTTGAGGAGCTTGCCAAGACCGAACTCGCCTGTGCCGGCATTGTTGGAAACGACGGTGAGATTGTTGATGTGAGGGTGACGGGAAATGGCACTGATGAGGGTCTCAGGGGTACCGCAAAGACCGAAACCAGCAGAAAGGACGGTGGAGCCTGGAGCGATATCCTTGACGGCCTCGTCGGCGGAAGGGTAGACTTTTGAGGATGTGAGAGAACGGAGAGCGGTGGAGGAGAAGGCGCGGGTCGGAAGGGTAAGAGGTGTGAAGGCCGAACGAGCGCGAAGAGAAGCTGCCAACATCGTGTGCTAACTTCAGCCGTAGTCGAGTTCCGATGTGTTCCTGCTAATGCGACGACGGAGATGTGAGCGGTTTAGGGTCGTCGAGTTTACTGGCGCGAAGATGGTCTGAGAGCCAAAGGCTGGAGGAACAACTTGAGGAATGACCTGGAATCGATGGTGTGGTAAGGAAAAAAGACGTTTCAGCACCCGAATCATGTATATCAATACTTGCAAAGACACACTCATCCCACTTGACCTTAACAACGACCAAATGCTCGGGCAGAGACGGTTAAAACCCGGTACTCGAATGAAGAGCAACCTTCGGCGAGGTGTGTGTGTGGGGGGGGTTCGGCTATTCACACAGACAAATACACGGCTGACGTGAAGGCAGGCGGGTGGAGGCAAGAAATTTAGTGTTTGCGTGCGTATTCAAGCGAAAATCTCCGCGTCTTCCGTCCTAAGAGCGGAAGCGAGTTTTCCCCCGTCTTTTCTTCACATCTAACACAGGTTGCACGGAAAGACAAGAAGGAAGTCAGCAAGTTCGTACAAACCGCCAAGGCCCGCGCATCCACGGCCGACAGTAGCCGAATTGGCGGAACAAAGTGATTCCGCCTCAAATCAGGGTCTCAATCTTGACCGACAAGCACTCCGCTTTGCTTGACAGTATCGATACACATTGTTCGGGAACGACATCGGACCTGAAAGACTTTGCATCGCTGTCAGCCAAGGCACACTGACGGCAGCGCCAAGAACGATCAAAGGTTGTATAGCATCTTATTGCTGGGTATCCATCTAAAGTATGTAGCACTGGGAGAACGAAAGAAAGAATCCACAGACCAGTCATCACCTGAAGTTGAGCTTAATCAAGAACAACAGCATATCCATCAAAGTATGCACACTTCCCCAGCCTATCGTCGTCAGCAATTCCGGGAACTCTCTCATCTCGTCCAGCCCTAGATTCGTCACATCGACCTTGAACGCCAGATAGCAAATCTGCCGCGCTACAAAACTGGACAACAACTCTGAACCCCAGATCGCCAGCGAACCTAGCATAGTCAGTTGATAGTTGTACGGATCATGCTTGTTGTCATACGCGAAGAAGGGGTAGATGGATTGGTTGCTGCCGAAATGCAAGATGCTGACCCAGCCCAGGAAGGCGAGCATGGTTGTGTTCTGTGCGAGGTTGCGGAGGTAGAATGCCAAGCCGACGCTTTCGACGTATTCTTCCCACGAGCGTGGCTGGGGGTTGAAGTATTGAATGATGCGGTGGCAGAGGCCGGACATGGAGAGCGGGTACCAGATACAAACCCAGAACGAAGAGAGCAATTGGACCAAAGCGAATTGGTCGAAGGATCGAAGACGAGCGAAGAGGTTGCGGTAGAAGATGAAGTAGACCAAAAAGTAGTAGTACTTGAAGGCGAAAACGAGAGCACGACTTCTGACTTTGTCTTCCAAGATCCAATGCGAGACCAGGGCTAGACCGTTGACGGTGAGAGTCCAGAAGGAGACATATGCTACGCCATCCAAGCCTGTATGCGGGAGAGTGGAGAGATAGACGGATGCATATCCTTGTCCGGCGATGAGGGCAAAGAGGGAAAGACCGATGGTAGACATGAACCAGAGGAAGCGAATGTAGGAGGAGGGGATGCGGCGGTTGAGTTGGCGTTCGAGAAAAGTCTTCTGGTGGTCGGTGAGACTGTGCCGGTACGTTTGACGACCGCTACGTCGGAGGCCGATGAAGCAGACAAGGGCCGGCATAGCCATTGTAGCGAACGCCAGGCCTACCCAAAGTGTCTTGCGCTGCCATTGAATATCTGCGTCGTCGATTGTTGGCTTGCCAGCGTCCACCATGGATGTGGTCACCATTGTCGACCACTGTTGCAGCTTGGCAGCGCTCGGCAGGGACAGAGAAGACATCAAGCCGCGCTGCTGTGAGTCTGCTTGCTGGTGGAGATGATGATGGTGTAGCTTTGCTCCATGACGTGTTTCTGTTCCAAGTGGGTCTAGCTCGTGCAAGATCCAACCAGCTACTAAGCCTCCGATCCAGAAGAAGGCATACGATGTCTTTGCACCCAGCGCAGCTGGCCACCAGTTGAGTCTGTAGAGGCCAAAGAGCTGAGTGATGTAGATGAGCGCAACGCCCACATAGATGCCGTAATAGAAGATGAGGAAAAACCAGAAGTTCGCATCGACTGTAAGTCTGTCGCCATCGCCGATTGGGTATTGTGGTTGCGTGGGCGGGGTCTTGGATGTAGCTGAGAACTTGGACAGGAGCATCGTTGCCATGCTCCAAGCAAAGCCTGTTATAGTTGGCAGATTCGGCAAAGCCACTCTGGACGCTTCCGCAGCTGAGCTTGAGAACGTACTAAGGGAAGAAGCAGTGGCGTTGGCGGGATAGCACCAAGGCGGGTTGTTCGGATCACCCGACCTGCCCTCTTGGTCAGGATTGCACCATGGGAGATTGGGATCGTAAGGATCCGTCTTCGGGAACGGCACAGCACACCAGAACCACACAACCAGACTTGGCAAGCCCGCGAGTGCAAACCATCGCTTCCACCAACTATCGAGCCACTCTTCGACCATCTCTCTCGGCGGCCGGATGAGATTATTAAGCCAACTGCGATTGGGTCGGAGGCGCTCGCGTTCTCTTTCTCTTTCCCAATTCCTGTCTCGTATGCTAGTCACTCGACGCCTGCGAGGTGGTGGCGAATGGAATGGTGACGGTCCAAGGACTGCTGCTGTGGAGGATGGGCTGTGTAGTGGATCTGTGCCAGCCGGTATGGCGCCGATGCGTGCTGATGCTGGATAGAGTGCCTCTGGTGCTCGTGACGGAAAGGCCGTTTGAGGGACGATGCTTTGTGGTCGCGAATCTGCGGCAGATCCGATCTGCTTCTTTGGCTTGGTCGCGGCTTGTCGAAAGCCGAAGCCTGTAGCGAGTCTGTTGCCTAAGCTGGTTGAAGCTGCTGTCTCTGGCCGATTGAAGCCTGCCATGAACGCTCCTCGATCCATCTCTCTGGACTTGCCCTTGTCGAACGAGGGCTTGGCATGTCGCCTATTTGAAGATGCGGATGAGCCGCTGTCTCGTGGGAATGGAATGGCTCGTGAGGTCGGTGAGCTGCTCCCAGAGGCCGGCGATGCCAGCTGGCCGGCAAGATAGGCTCGGAAGCGTCCTGGTTTCAGGGATCCTGCATCGTCTTGAGCTTGCCAGGCATCATCGGATCCTCCCTTTGACATAGGCGCAAACATCTTGACCGCAGGCGTATTTGTCTATCGTTCTATTGGCGATACTGAGATCGAGACTGTCCTGTCATGGGCCTGTTGCTTGTGTGTCTAGTTGGTAGTCGCATCCGAAGCTCTAGGCCAGCTCGAATTGGCCGCAGAGGCTATTGTAGCACATCGTGCAGGTGCATGTGTAGCGGAGGTATAGAGCATGGAGGGAAGCTCGATGCACATACAACCCAATCGGGAGGCGATTCAAGCATGTGTGCATGTGTGCGTGCGGTTCCTGTCGGGTCCTCCTTTCTTTCGAGCTGAGTTGTGAAACGTGTGTGTTGTTTTTTTTTTGGTGTTGATCTCGTTTGGATTTCGGTTTCAAGAGACTGATCTGCTACCACGAAAATTTGGCACAAAGGGTCCTTTCCTGAGTTTGGCGCAGATAGTGCTGAAGATGACGATCCAGCAGCCGCAAGAGATCGGACGTGGCGATCCAAATCGGAATCGGGTAGAGCGATCTAATCGGGGATCGGATAGATCCAAGCTAATCGGATGCTACTTTGGGGATAACCAACCTTCCTCCACTGTACCATAGGTCGTCCTTGACCTCGAAGGGCTTCTTCCTATGTATCTCCTGTAGCTCTTGGTCTAAGGGCTGGAAGATCTTGACCAGGTCTCTGAGACCTTTTGATGCTATGGACTCCATCAAGATCATAGGGGCCACTAGGATCAAGTCATGGTCTGCTGTCTCCTTGAACACTCGAGGAGGCAGTAGTTGCCTCACATTGTGATCCTGCTCTTCACCAGCTGGTTGCATGTCTGTCCTTCTGGTGAGAGCATCGGGTTCACCACCTTTGTCTCCTGGTCAATACTGCAATATGAAGTCGAAGTCTGCTAGTAGTATTGCCCATCAAGCCTGTTGACCTGTGATGTGTCTCTGTGACTTGAAGTACTTGAGGGCTTCATGGTCGGTGAGGATGACCAGTTGGCTAGGTAGTCCAGCTAGCATGTGTCGCCACTGAGTGAGGCAGGCGACCACAGCTAGGAGCTCCTTGTCATGGATCTCATAGTTCTTCTCGGCAGAAGACATCTTCCTAGAGTAGAAGGCCACTGGATGCCACTGTCCTTCATGCTCCTGCTTGAGTACTCCTGCTATAGCAAAGTCACTTGCATCAGTTTCCAACCTTGTTGGAAGGTGGTAGTCGAAGTGCTGAAGCACTCCTGCTGATGTGAAGGCCTGGATGAGCTTGTGGAAGGCCTGTTGGGCCTCCTCTGGTAGCTCAAACTTCTTGAACCATTCTATAGGCTTTACCAGTGATGTCAATGGCTTGGCTATGCAAGCAAAGTGGGCTATGAACCTTCAATAGAAGTTGGCAAAACCCAGGAACCTTTGGATGTCATGGATTGACTCCGGCATTGGCCACTCCTTGACAGTGTGCACCTTTTCTGGGTCCATCTCTATGCCCATTGGCTTGATGATGTACCCCAGGAACTCGACTGTCTTGGTGTGGAACTCACACTTCGACAGCTTAGCAAAGAGCCTGTTGCCTCTTAAGTGAGTGAGGACCTCGGTGACATGCTTCACATGTGCCTCTTCAGTGTCACTGAAGATCAGGAAGTCATCTAGGTATACTACCACATATACTCCAATGATGTCTTGGAAGATGTCATTGATGAATGACTGAAAGTGAGCCAGAGCATTGGCTAGGCCAAAGGGCATCACTAGGTACTCATAGAGTCCTAACTGAGTGCCAAAAGCTGTCTTCCATTCATCTCCTTTAGCAATCCGGATGAGGTTGTATGCTGCCCTAAGGTCTAGCTTGGTATAGATCCTTGCCTTCCTGAGTAAGAACAGCTGCTCCTCGATGAGGGGCAATGGTGCCCTGTTCTTGACAGTGATCTCATTGAGACCTCGGTAGTCCACACAGAGTCTGAGACCTCCATCCTTCTTTGGTATGAAGAGCACTGGTGATCGTGCTGGGCTCTTCGATGGTCTTATGAACCCCTTCTTGAGGTTCTCATCCAAGTACCTCCTCAACTTGGACATCTCCTTGGGTCCCTTAAGGTATAGGGGCCCTTGAGGTGGCTTACCTCCTTCTATCAACTTGAGGTGGAGATCGTGCTCAGTATGATGGGGCAGCTTGTCTGCTTCCACCTCATTGAACACATCTCGCAGGTGTTGGTATGGCTTTGGTATGTCTGCAGCCATCACCACCTTGTCTACCTCCACCTCCATCTCGACTCCTTTGTCTGCACCTGTAGGTACAAAACCAAAGGCCAGGAGTGATGATGGTGGCTCCTCTAACAGCATGAACCCTATGGGTCCATCTTCCAGAGCTGCTTGTAGTATGCGCTCTGCCGAGACAAACTCATTACCATGGAGGGTTGGTCTCCTCATGGTTAGGTCCCCTGCTCTTGCTGCTTCAGGGGGTCTCCTTGGGGGTTGGTCCTGCTCCTGAGTCTTGAACTCCAGCTGGCCTGTATCCCATTGTATGGTGGGTTTGAGCCTCCGTAGCTCGGTGAACCCCAGGATGAGGTCATAGTCAGCAGTGTCGGCCACTGAAGCTTCAACCACACCCAGATTGTGTGTACCAATAGATACCTGCATGCTTGCAGAACTATTGATGGAGAGTTGGTGTCCAGTGACACCATGGATCGATCTTGTTTTTATGGGTTTTGTGGGTATTTGGTACTTACTAATGAAAGAATCTGAGACTATGGACAGACCAGCACCAGTATCAGCTAGTATCCAAGCAGGATGGTCTTGAACCATTCCAGAGAGCTCCAGTACTGCTTTGCCTCCACTGGTAGAGAAACATACTTGACAATCTTGATATATACAGAGTGATGGCGAGGAGGTTTGTAGAGCAATGCATGCCATCAGTGCATCACCCCACTGACATTTCCCTCATCGTTGTCATCATCGTGCTCCTCCTCCTCATGGTCGAGGTCCATGGGTTGCTGGTATGAGCTGAGGTCCATGGCCTTGGGGTCAGTCTCAGTGCTGCCTGTGTGGCCATCTCCTGAGTCGGTGGCCTCCTCGAAGGGGTCTGCTGTGGTGACCATGACCTTTGGTCCCATGGGTCGAGAGCTAAGAGGGTCTATCCTCCTGCTGGGGCAGTCTCTGGCCCAATGGCCGATACCCTTGCATACATGACAGGTGTTGATACCTGTTGGAGCAGGGCTTCCTTGCTTCGAGGTTTGGGTGGGATAATGAGGAAGGGGTCAGTTAGTTGGTCGGTTTAGGTTTTGTGTAGTTGCTTGTGTAGTTGCTTGTGCTGGTGATCAAGCTGGATAAGGTTGAGTGGGTTGACGTATGGGGATTGAACTTTGAATTGGCCAAGACCCAGTTCTTAGTGGAGGTGATGTGGCATTTGGGAGTGAGTGTCTAGCCGAGGACTGCTGTAGTAGCATCCTCTGTCGATCAATCTCCTCAACCTCTCGATACCATTCCCATCTCTTTCCAGGTGGGTTCCTCTCAAACTTCTCCTGTATGCTGCAAGTGAGACTACCTCTGAAGAGATCAATCACTAGCTCATTGTCATCTAGGTTGACCTGTCCTTCCAAGTCTCTGAACTGCTCTACATGACATGTGGCAGCACCAGGAGCATCACTTGTGAGTCTGAGAGCCAACAGCTTGTTGTATGCCTCCATCCTAGCATTGTGTGGGTTGAACTGCTCTGACAGTCGCTCTGTGAAGTAGTGCCAATCATTGAACAACCTTCCTTCTCTAGCTCTATCGATACGGAGCTTGGAGGTCCACCACTCTCTTGCTGTCCCTTCCAGTTGAGCACCCATGTGATTGATCATCCTAGACTGCTCATACACCTGGTTGAACTTAAACCATGCTTCAGCTTCTAGAATGAAGATCTCCACATCTCGGGGATTGAACTTTGGAAATGGGGTGGCAATGGGCTTCGATCTCTCCATCATGATGCTGGTGTCCTCCTCTTGGTCCAGGGGGTAAGGGTCCATCCTGGTCCTGCTGTAGGGGTCCACCTTAGTCTTGACATATCTTGGCCCTGTAGGTGAAGCATACTTCTCGTAGTTGACGTCGTCCTGCTCATCCAAGTTGAATGAGACTGATTGTCTTGGTCGTGGAGCTGGAGTAGGAGTATGTGGGTCTCCTATCATAGACTCATCTCCTCCTCCTGCTTGGTCTTCTGAGTGAGAGAGGTCCATTGTCTCCTCCCTGCTCAGTTGAGCTTGTTGTAATTGTTCCTCTCGATAACCCTGTCTGGTAAGCTCTAGCTGTGCTTCCAATAGAGTGAGTAGCCTATCGAGCTTATTGTTGAGGTCTGGGTCCATCATGGTGATCGTGAGGAGCTGCTTGAATGATCCACTCTAATGTCAGGGGTCTCGTGCCTGAAACCCAGGTCGGTCTGTTGAGATACTTGGTGACTATCAAACTGTGCAACAGCTATTGTCTCAGTATCAGTGACTATCAAGTTGCGCAGTGACAGCAGGTGGCGTTCATTGTATATACTATTGTAGGTTTCGGCTGACCTCTGTGGACACTCCGTTCAGGGGTAGCTTGGCACGATCAATATCAATGCTTCAGTTATGATGACACCAAGGTCTGGTGTGAGTGTTGATGATGATGAGGTTGATGACATTGGTGATAAGGTTGGTGAGTGTTGATGATAATGAGGGTGATGGTGTTGGTGATAAGGTTGGTGGCATCAACACGAGTGTCCAGTGTGTTGACTTTAACGCTTGAAGTGATCCCCAGACCACAGTGGACTACTGCCTTCGGTTCTATCTATATCCGGACTGCTAACCTGCTATGGGGCACCTACGGACATCAGGTAGTGGTGATACAACACACACACTATGATGAGGAGCAACCTTGATAGATTGCTGCTATGCTGACTGTAACTAATGAGTACTTATGTTTCTAAAGTATTGACTAGTTGTATGGTGAGTAGAGTGGATGAGGATCCACTTGACCTATTATGATGAGAAAGCATGGTTATATACCTCTTCACAGCATCGCCAGCAATGCTGCTCCTGCTCTCTCTCCAGAGAGTATCTTCTTCATCGAGTACTGCTCAGGGGCCTCTCCTGCTTGGCACCCCTGTGCCTCTTGAGTGGTGTCGACTCCTTCGACACTGCTCCTCCTCCTCATGACCTGGTGTTGACTCCTTCGACACTGCTCCTCTTCCTCAGGACCTGCCTGCTAGTGTCCTATACACTGCTCCTTCTCCTTTGACTGGTGACAGTTCCTTTGACTCTTGTCTCTCGAGCCCCTGAGTGGTAACCATCTGAGCTTGGTCCTCTTCGTGGCTGTGCCTGCTCCTTGAGCTTGGTCCTCCTCGTGGCTGTGCCTGGCCCTCCTCGCATGTGGCTCATGTCCTCCTTTGCATGTGAGTCCATAGGAGTCCATGGTCTCCATGGAGACTGCACTACAACCATGCTCTCTACTGGTATCAACTAGATCTTCAATACCTGTGCTCCTTCCATATGAACCAGTGACCCTCCTGCTTCTTGAGCATCCAGGCCCATGACAAGTCACCAGACTTAAACCTGATTGAACACCTCTGGCACCATCTCAAAATGTGACTTTCACAGTATAGTACAATTGCAAAGTCCAGGGATGAACTGCTCAAGAGATGTGAAGCTGAATGGACAGCAATCACTCCAGAGACATGTAGGATGCTAATAGAGAGTATGCCAGACTGCATCAAGGTGGTTCTGAAGGCCAAAGGAGGGAATACAAAGTACTAAGGTGTTCTTGAGGAGTGCTCCATAAACTGTCCCACAATAATAATAAAATCGGCTCTTCTTCATAGCACAATTTTCTTAGTCAATGTCAATATCATTTACACAGTCTTGGAGAGAAGAAGCAGGGCTTTCAGATGATATGAGACAGTGTGGCAATACAACTTATAGCTATTGAGCATTAGAGTGATGTATGGTGACATGTAAAATTATGGGACAGTTTACATGCATGCTGTATATACAAAGTGCTAGTGCATCCCATATGTGGGAGTATCACCCTCAATGACAGAGTACAACAACGAGCGGGACCCAATAGCATCCGATCCTCGATTAGATCGGCTCTACCCGATTCCGATTTGGATTGCCACATCCGATCTCTTGGGGTCATGCTGCTCCCGGCTTGCCAAGGCAGAGAGCTCCTGCAGCGTCAGCCTTGCTTCTATTCTAACGCAGTGTGACTGCAACTTTGCCTCATTGTGACTTGGACGCTGCTGCGGGCCCACTTGAGCGAGAGAAGTTGAAAATAGAGGCACCACTTCGTTGGGGCCACGATCAGGCTCCCTTCACACAGGTGTGTAGCAACTGCAATGCTTGTCGTATTCGAGTAGACTAAGGCTACAAACATGAGTATATATTGCCGAAGGAAGCGATCCAATATGATGATACATGCTGACATAAACGTAATCGGGGATCTGACGGAACAGATCTCTTCAGAGATCGGGTACAACACAGTCCCGCTCGTTGTCAAGCTAGATCATGAAGTAGGATACTCCCACATTCGGCATGTACCTCATAGATGTATATATATCAAGCTAAGAACACTAGGTTCTCACCATGTTCACTTAGTCAATCGAGTATATATGTTTCTGCCCTAAAACAGTAGTGACATCGTACTCGGACTCTCCCCGATCGCCAGTTATCGGGACCAAACTTCTTCACTTCCCAACATATATATCTTCACACTGTCTCTGAAAACATTGAGCAGCCTTAGGTGAGTCGAGTGTCTTTCCTGCAGAGCTCCTGAGCCGTTGCCATGTCAACCTTGATGCATTTCACATACCTGAGTAAGCTCGTGAATAAGCGGCATTTGCTTTTACCAGCTTTGCCCTCGTCGGCTTTCGGGATAAACCGTGGAAATTTTCCGACGTATCTTCAACTGAGCAGCTCAAGTTGATATTATTGACTCGACGCTTGTACAGATATATATCCTTTACTGCGCTTCTTTTCTTTCACTTAGAATTGCGCTTTCCCGCCTTCTTGTATTTTGCGCTACATCCCGCTCTATCGTTGTCGACTCTCGAGCCATCCTTCAGCACCATCGTCCACCTTCATTTACTCGCTCCGACATACACTTCCTGAGCCTCGTTCGGACATCGTCCTTTGGCAGCGTACACCCGCTCAGATCCGCCACTTGCTCCAATCGACGTCCGTTTGCTACTTTCTTATTGACCAGCAAGTCAGCCCTGGCAACTGCGGCTGCTATCGCATCTTGGGACGTCTTTGCTACCAACTTACCATTTGGAGATCTCAGCCTACTCACCAACAACCACTATCACCTTTAACTCAGCTGGCGACATCTAGCTTGCTGTCCCCACGCCAACTTATCACCATGCCGTCCTCAGAATCAGTCTCCGCATCATCCACCTCGTCCCTACGTTTGCGCTATATCAACGCAAAAACAGCCCAACAAATCGACCAAGAACTCATGTCCCCCACTGGTGGATTCTCCATCGACCAACTCATGGAACTCGCAGGTTTATCCTGTGCTCAAGCCGTCTTCGAATGCTACCCACCCACCAAATACCCCAACGTCCTCGTCGCTTGCGGACCAGGCAATCAAGGAGGAGACGGTCTCGTCGCTGCTCGACACCTCTACCACTTCGGCTACGAACCTTCGGTATGGTACCCAAAAACAGGCAAAACAGAACTCTTCTCTCGACTCAAAGTTCAACTTCAAACCCTGGGTCTTCATTTTGTTGCACAAGATGACTTTCAAGATGCGCTTGAAGAAGCTGATGTTGTGTTGGACAGCATCTTTGGGTTCAGCTTTTCAGGGGAAGTGAGGGAACCTTTCAAAGCACCGCTGGAGAATCTTAGGTACGAATCGAGGATCGAATTTGAGGCGAGAAAGAAGATGCCTCCGATTGTTTCGGTGGATATTCCCAGTTCGTGGGATGTAGAGAAGGGAAATGTGAACAAGACTTTTACTCCGAGTGTGTTGGTCAGCTTGTCAGCACCCAAGTTGGGAGCGGTACAGTTTGGTGGGAGACATTTTTTGGGTGGTAGGTTCTTGCCAGAGAATTTAGAGGCAAAGTTTGATCTGCAGTTGCCGGATTATCCTGGTACGGAACAGGTGGTGGAGATTACTGGTGCGAAACCATTGGAATCTCAGGAACAGGAGATTGTACAACAACAACAACAGCAGCAGCAGTAATGGTGACGGCAAGGCAGTCTTTTCTTTTTCGGTGGTCTCGATTCTCTTTCTCTCTCTTCTCTCGCCCTCTATACCTCTCGCCCTCTATATCTTTCACTCTCTATATCTTTCCCTCTCTATATCTTTCCCTCTCTATATCTCGCGCTCTTTTTCACTTGTCACCCAATACCTCCGTGCCAATTTCGTGAAATGATAAGGTCTTATCTAAATGAGAATCTCCATGTCTGATTGTCCGTTGTGTGAAGCAGGAACAAATGTGCGATTCAGAGCAGCATCTCCAACTCAGCCTTCGACAAGATCTCCAATAACCCCTTCAGATTACCCTCTTTCTCCTCCTTCTTCCGTTCTTCATCCGCACTATGATTCGCAATCTCCTTAAACCCTTTCGCCAGAACCTCAGCCTTCCATAGCACCGTCTCCGCGTTGAACTCTCCCGTTAGCGAGTTGAAGTACTGCAAGATCTCGTCAAAGTTCTCTAGGTACCTCATAAGGTATTCCCTGTGCAATTCTAGCAAAGCGAGGGCGCAGAATAGGTGGAATGATTTCGAGAGTGACCAACCTGGGCTATTTGCTTTCTCGCTCCTTTCTTCTGCAGATGGCTTGTCGTTTTCAACTTTCTTTGCCTGCGCTGGCGTGGTCTCTGTCTTTGAGGCTGACGTTGACTTCGAGCTTGAGGTGGGTGAAGAATTTGCATCTCTTGGGTTCGACGGCTCTGCAGCCCAGCAAGACTCCCAAACGCCCACCGTTTCCTCAAACCTAAACTCCCTTTTAAACCTAACCAACAGCCATCTGAAACAGAAGAACAAATTCAAAGCCTCCGTCCTCTCCAAATGCGCATACAATGCTGGGTCCATGATGCTGATCAACTTCTGCAGTAACAACAACTGCGCCTTCATCCCTGATTGGTCCCGGTAGAAGTTGGACTTGGTTCGATTCATCAACCCGACAAAAGACCAGAACGTTTTCGCTTCGTCCCCTTCACACATAATGTAGAGGGGGGAACAGAGATCGGACATGCCTTGAACGTAGCCTGCTAATAACCCTGCTTCTGCTTCAGAGGCGGGGGTGGGTTGTGATGATTCCCATAGGCCGTAAGTGAGCAAAATTTCACCGAGCTGGAGTGTGTGCGGGTTGGAATCGGTCATAGAATCGGCGTTCGTATCTGCTACAAAGGCCGGATCGCGTGCGAAGAGGGGTTGATTGCGATCAGTGCGTAGACAGTCTACGCGAACTCGATGTTGCTGTTCTCCGAACTCTTCGGTGGCGAGGAGATTTTCGTCGGTTTGCCAACGTGCTTTGAAGGTGTGATATTCGAGTTCCCTTTCTTGCCATAACGCAGCACGTTGTTCGGAGGTGGCGTCGAAGGGCACAGCATCCAGGAGGAACGGCCAGGCGTGTTTCCTCGCCTCGTTGGTAAGACCATTGACAAAGATCCGATGCTTGATCTCGCTGAGCGGCAACAGAGGTAAGCCCGTAGTTGGATCGAAGAACGATCTCCATTCATCCACGCTCAGCCCCGAGGCAGCAACAGAGCTAGTATCAGTCGGATCGATCTTGAGCTCGCTGAACCTCGCTTCCCTCTCAGAAGTGGGTCGTGGGATATCATAGGACTTCTCCAGAATCTCAAACGCTCCCAACTCACTACCCTCAACCCTCGCCCCCGCTGAACTAGAGGGTCGAATTCCCAACCCTTCCACCGCAGCAGCACTGGCACCCAGCCTCTCTTCCTTCCTCCGATTCCTCTCCCCCTCCTCCGCCACCAATCTCGCCCACCTCGCCAAGTACACTCTGGCACTATCATAATACTCCCCCGTCCCACTCTTGTTGGCAATACTACTCGTCCTCCACTCCCACTCACCTTCGTTCGGACCCAACGGCACCGGTCCTGCCTGCGCGAAGCTCTGCACCGGTCCCGGCAAATGCGGCACATACGGCCTTGCCAAAGGATGAGACAGTACCGCATGACTCGCGTGTCTTGCTTGCTGTGTAAAGTTGGCAAAGGAAGAAAGAACGGACATTCTCGCAGACTTTGCCCAGACCGTTAAATTGTCCATTGCCAACTCGTTCTTCCTGGAGTGATTCGAAGGTAAGGATTGATGTAGCGGGCTCATTGTGTAAGAATGCTCTGCAAGATCGTGGCTGTAAGCCGCATTGCCTGCGTTGGGACGAGGGAGATCGATTGCGTCGTCGTCGAAGATGGGTGTGCTGTGAAGTTCGAGGTCTGCTCTGGAGGGGTTGATGAGGAAAAGGTTCGGGTCGATGGCGCTTCGATGGATGTTGGCGTACTTGCGAAGCTGTTGGACTAGCTCGTCACCTCCCCATGTTGGTGAGGGAGAAATTGGACGTGAATTGCGATGTGACCCTGCTGACCATGCAGATGAACCCGGTGCAGGATACAACTTCCCCTCATCTATGCTCGCTATGGACCGTTTCGCCCTATGCATAGACAAGACCGTACTCTTACTCTCATCATCATGGAAATGTAACGTCGGCATAGCCACTCCTCCAAGCTGACTGATCGTTACCGTGCCGTACCAAGAGCTGATGGTTGGCTTCTTCACCGTAAAGCCATAGGTACTCGTTAGTGGTAGCGAGAATGCGTAGGTAGAAGAAGCGGGAGGTTCAGTGATAAGCACTGACTCTAGATCTTCTTCTTCTTCAACGGTGTCAAGGGGCTCGGTGCGGGTATCAGTGTGGTCAGCACGAGCGGAAGTGGTATATTCGATACGGACGAACTTTTCCAGTTCTTGACGCTGCTCTACGAGTGACTCTGGGAGGAAGGACAGGAGGATTTTGGCGCCAGGTTTGGAAGTTCCAGCGCGGCTGAGAGCAAGGTAGCCAGGAATGTTGTGTTTTGCGTATGGCGACGGGTGGACGTAGACTTTGGATTTGGACCAGAGGAGGGTATGTGGTGGTGAAGATGCTTCTGGTTCTGTCCTGTCAGATGAGGAGGTTGCCAGCGAGGGGTCTGTGACGTTGCTTTCGACATCGGGTTGGTCAGTCATGGCTAAAGTATTGACATCGATGCTGATGTGAAGCGTCTAGGGGTATAATGGCTGCTCGATGGTGGAGTGGCAGGTGAATGATGGACGAGTGTGAATGCACTCATAACGACTCCGCACGGTCCTCAAGGTGCAAAACGCTGCATTTCCTCCACATTTTCCGTCAACTCAGCCTTGACAGCCTGCGAAGTGCCAGTTTTGTGTGCCAAATCTATTCAAAAAGTCGACCGCAAAATTGGTACACAAAAGTCTCGGAAAAATCTTTCCGTCTTGTCCTCATTTCCATCGTCCAGGCAGTTCTCATTGTTGGTTGTCGCACCGATGGGTAGATCTTGTCGCCTTTAAATAGAAGGTGGAAGACGACTTTGTGTGCGCAGTGGGTACTTCCCGTAGTCAGCTGGAATAGATTTGGTGCCAGGGTTTCATTTGGCTTGGACGGCACGTGATGCAGGGGGTGCAACGCGCGCCGACGCGTCCACAACACGCTGAAATTTCACAGTCGAAATCTTCTGGTCCAGCCGTGCGCACAAACTTAGTCTCAACTGACACTGACGAGGCTCAGCCGACTGAATATACATGCGATACCGAGTCTCTCGACCTGTCAAGCCAAATCGCAGCCGAAGAGTGTTCTTTCCACCCCTTTTGGCTGGAGCGTTTTGACATTTTGCAGGTCACCTCATCGCCATCAATATCTGCTTCTCTATCATCAATCAGCAATCTTGCAGCGGCTTGCACATTGATCACGCTGCATACGCGTTCCATAGACAACGCGTGCCTCGCTCGGGCTTCATCGATTTGCATCACGCACAACCACTATTATCGATCCATCCGCTTTAGACCCACAACCAGAGCAAGAGACATGTCCAGAGCTCATCGCCATTATCCTGTAGCATCCACTTCTTATCACCAACCTCCATCCGATATTGGCTCTCGTCGTCCACGTGAACCAGCTCCATCACTTTCGCATCCAGACTTTTCGCGAGATATCTACATCCCTGAATCGCAAGAAGAGCTCAATCGAGTTAGCATCGAGTCGCGACTCCTTCAGGCATCCGGTCCAAAACACAATCCAGGCATGCGTAGGGGCGACTTCACTGCCGCGTCTTCGACGTTTGACACGTACGACCGTATCGGTCGCGAAGAGGACTTTGCTGCCACACGACCGCCAGTCTCTTCTACTGCAGCGCGACAGGCGAGATCTTCCAACATGCACGCATCCTCACATCGTCAGATCAGAGTAGAGGAGGATGAAAGCTTGATACCTGGTGTCGGACGTGGTGTTCGCAGCACGATGCCATCACAGACTTCGTATCAGGAGCGTATCCGTTCTCTCAACCACCATGCCGCTCAGCACCCGTTCAGATCTTCCCCTGCCAAGAGCCCGTACCGTCCTGGAAAGTACTCCTCGGGCTACCTTGCACCAGGTCAAGCAAAGCAGCCAGCGCCGGCCTCTTCATCACTGCGACCGTCTGCAACTACCCACACTCGTCCCAGCACAGCGCTTCCTCCTCGCCAACCTCACGTCGAGAGCGAATCCGAGTCAGACGGAGACTCCCTGACCGACTCTGATGGCATGAACGTCCACACTGCAACATTCAACAGTACTGGTAACCATCGCAATTTTGCCGCAACTCCAGTAGCGCACACTGCTACGATCACCGCCAACTTCCGTCAGCGTCCCACCCTTGGCCAGGACACACTGGACCGCATCGAGTTCGACATTCACACCGATACCGATGCCGAACAACGTCCTCGTCAGGATACACAATCCACTCGAGCTGCTGCTGCCGCAGCTCAGCATCACAGACCTCGTCCTGACCCTAGTGGTCCCTTTGCCTCGCCTCGTGCTACCACCAACACCGTCGGCATGAACGCTGCCGACTACCAACAGCATCTCGCCTCGAGGACGCTCACCTCGCCTGCTTTGCGCACGCTCATTGGTGATCGATCAAAGAGTCCGGACAGCCCAACGCCTGCACCTTCCATCGACGGTGTATTGCATGCCGGTAAGACAAACAGTGGCAAGGATTCGCAGCAGCGTCATCAACAGCCACTTGCAACCAGACAAGACTCCATCTCAGCCGTCAGCGCATTCGAGGATCTTGCACGTCGTTTGCAACGCGATGTCGAAGTAACCCGAAGAGGTCGTGATGCCGCTGGAGAGGAGGGCGATGACGGCAGCGCATCCAACTCCGGCGGAAGTGGCTTTGGTCCTGGTAGTCAAGCCTCGAGCGCACGAACACGTGTTGAGCCCGAGTCGCATCCTGGCAACAACAAAGTCAACAAGCCCTCCCACTTCAACGCACACGGCTTCCCTGCACATCAAAAGACAGCTGCTGCTCACGATACAACTTCACCGTGGGATGTTCGCTTGCCCGATGTCACTGGTTTGACTTCTGCACTAGGATCGCCTGTCAAAGCTCGTGATGCGGTCAAGCATCGACCATTCGACAGTGCGGTGGGAAACCAAGATGCGAGGTTGGAGGAGTTGGTGAATTTGAGATGCTTTGTGGATGGCATTCAGGTTGAACTAGATAGAGCGGGAGAGAGGATCTTGAATCTGGAACAGGCTCAGGAGCAACAGAGTCATGAGTTCCAAGGGTTGCGGTCGGAGATGCAGAGTGCGTTGAAGGATGTAAGGGCGAGTCAGCCGAGGGTGGAGGAAGATCAGCTTCTGCAGCTGATGCTGCAAAAGCTGCAGTCCGGCACCAGCTCTCAACAGCAGACTGAGAGGACTTCGGAAAGTGCTCAAGTTCAGACGCAAGCACCCAAGCCAGTCGCTCAAAGTCAGGCAAGCAAATCTCATGCACCACGACAGCGAGGTGAAAGTCGAAGCCAAGTTGAGGTAGTCAATCGACTCTACGCCGAGCTCGATAAGTTGAGGATGGTGATGGAGGAACAGTATCGCTCCGCTGCTGGCATTCCTCGCGAGTCGAACGAAAGAGAGGAGGTCGTCGAGACTAGGCCACAACACGCGACTTATCAACACCAAGACAACATCCCCACCGGTCGCGATCCCTGGGACGCCACCGAGGCTCTTCGACTGCAAGTGCTGAGCTTAGCCGAGGAAGTTGAAGGTCTCAACGGGCTTGTTTTGGAGCACCTCACTCAGCCTGCTCCCACTGCAAGGCGGAAGCGACAAGCTCGCACCAGCAACAGCAGTGCTCGTCACAATCACTACTACGACGATGCACACCCTGCTTCGGAGCCTATTCAGCCTGCTCCCGCTCGATCCTACCGAAGAGACCACACGGACATCCGTACAGACCCTATCGACGACGCTGATGATCACCAGCACTACCACCATCACCGACGGGTGTCATTCGGTCGTCATCGCGACCAAAGTGAGGAGGAATACGACGCAACTATCGACGCTATTGCTGAGAACGTCCGTATTCAACGCGAGCGTCAACGTCGTCGTCATCGCCCAGCGCCCGTCGAGGTCCACGACGACGAAGATGAGATCTCTCAACTAGCCGACGCTCGTGCAGCCCGCGCCTCTGCTCGTGCTGGCAGTCATCACCAGTCCACACCTCACAACTCGGCAACTTGCACAGTCTGCACAGCCTCCACTCGTTCCGATAAACGAAAAGCCTCCCGACGAGCGCGTCTCCTTGCGGCGGAGGAACGAAGACAGGCTGTCGAACTCGAAGAATCGATCCTTCTTGATGCATTGGATCCCCAAACACCGCACTCCCCCTCCACCAAACCGGCGCGAATCGGAGCAGAAGAGCTAGAAACTCTAAAAGTGATCCTGCGCGAGCATTGGGACGAATTCCTACACCAACGTATGCTGTATTCTGAACTGGCCGACGAGCTCAAGACCATGTCTCCAGGGATGGGGAAGGCGAAGAGAAGGATCTTGGCAGAGCATGTGTTGGAGGCGGTGGAGATGCTAGAGTTGAAAGCGGATAGGATTGAGCGTTTGGAGAAGGTCATCAGTTCCTGTTCTACCGGCAATTTGGGCAGTAGGGAAAAGGAAGAGGGAGTGGTGAGGAAAGAGGCTGGATCCAGGGTTTCTAGTGGAACAGGCACAGGTGTGGGGGCAGGGGGAAACAGGTTGAAGCATGCTCTGGAGTCTTTTGAACGCAGATCGAGGGGTGGGTCGAGCCCGCCCAGGGTACGGGAGGCGGAGGGAAGGAATTCTCCTCCGACTACGCTTCAATTGTAGACAGGGTCACACTCAGAAAGATGTATTGTCTGCAACTGCAATCAATGAATGATTCTCATCGCAGACTTGGCTCGAAGTGTGTGTGATATGATGTGGCATAGTGTGAGTTTGATAATGATGAGGATGCAGAAAGTGATACAAAGTGCGATTGAGGTGAGGATTATCTCACTTGCGACTCTTCTTTGGCAGAGCAGGCTTGCCCTTACGCTTTCCATCACTGTTGGCTTTGCTGTTATTCGCACTCTTCTCCATCAGCTCTGCTGCCTCCTCCTCATCGTCGTCACTGTCGTCGTCGTCGTCGTCGTCGTCCTCCTCCTCCTCCTCATTTGCATCTTTTTCAGCGTCCTTCTTCGAACCATTCACCTTCTTCCCCCTAGCACCCTTGCCACCAACTTCTTCCATCTTAGCAAAGATCTCATCCGCCTCCTGCTCATCCTCCTCTCCGCCCTCCTCGGCTCCTTCCGCATCCTTCACCCCATTCGACCTCCTCTTTTTAAGCCCACCCGGCAGTACACCATCCCAAACAAGCGCGGTCGGACTAGCATGTACACTCTGCGTCCCCGCATTAGCAATCATCTTTGTCCACATCACCTCACCCTTCTCCGCAGAAGCACCAGCCTTAGGCACTGCCGCCGCCGCAGGAACCGTCGTACAAAACCTAACGAGGCTATCCGAAGACACCGTCACCAATGCTTCCGCTTCCTTTCTACTCGGTGGGAGGGGAAGGGTGGTCATCGAAAGTGTAGCTCCAACCTGGCCCATTCCTTTGTAGCTGTACAAAAGCGCTCCTGTCCTCCAATCCACTGTGTACAGCTTCGACCCTGTGTCGCCCACGAATAGCAATCCTCCCTTTTCAGCGTCTAGGGGGAGAAAAGAAGCGGAGAGAGTTTTAACAGATCCTTGTCCCGCAGGAATGACCCTAATCTCCCTGATATGCTTTCTAGTGCTTCCTCCAGGTTGATAAATCCTCACCAAGCCATCTTTTGTTCCTACCGCAATAAAACTTTCCCCTCCCACACTCCCCGCTTCTCCTCCTTCACTTCCATCGTCCAAGCTAAGAATATGGGTAGAAGTAATATTCGCCCGTCTCGGAAGCGAAAGATTGTCATTGGGGAGATTCTTCGCACGCCAAATTTCACCCCACATCAATTCCCTTGCTTTGGTTTTCGCCTCAAGCTGACGTTTTCGTTTACGCTGTTTACTGTTCAACCCTGCCAAATCCTCCGTTTTGGTCGAATGGATGCTCAAATCTCCCACCGCCGATTCTTGCTGTTCTGACACCGCCGTAGGAATATGCCAGAGGGAAAGGGGAATGTCCTCGCCACCGTAGCAGAAATGTGTTGGATTCGTGCTCGGGTAGAAGCTAACATGCTGCAGCGGCGCTGGGAGGTAATCCAACACTTTCGCTTCCCCCACTTCCGCATTCCCCTCAGCTGCAATACTGATTGGTGTGAAACGGAAGACTCCGGAAGAAGTGACACTATACACTCCCTCCTCACCCACTGCTAAACCGATAAACCGCTGAATACCGGCCTTCATATGGCTCTCCCTAATCGTACACATCACCTCCGCACGCAGATCGGAAATTGCCGCCGGAGAAGCAGAAGATGAGGGTAAAGACTGATTCATAATCTGCACTACATCGATAGTAGCATTCTTTCGAGCCATTGCGACTACGTAGGTGGAGGAGGAGGAGGAGAGGACGCCTGTGGCGAGCCGTTGTACGGCATTGTCGGAGTGCGATTTGAAGTTGGGCAGGATTAAAGGTTTGATCGTCGGTCCAGAGTACCCGCTGCTAGAGGAGGGTAGGGAGGAAGGAGGATCGCATTGAGCGACACGAAGACAGCCGATCGAGTCACCGATGTAGATTCGGTGTGAGGAGTAGGGGTCTTCCAGCACAAGAGTGTCGGAGGACATGTTGTCCGCTAGCGCTTTTCGGCCTTGATGAGATGGAATGTGTTGGTTTTCGAGTGTTGTGATGGTGAGAGCGCCTGAATGTGTGAATGGGGTAGTACAGGCACGGTTGATGAGGAAGCGGACGGCAGGAGAAGGAGGAGGTGAAGCTTTCTTTCTCTCCGCTCGAAGGGGAAAAAACAAAATTCTCAACCAACACAAAAAACAGACTTTTGGCTCAAATCTCGGAAGTCGGCCTTTCCCTTATACACCCGATGCTGTGTCCAACCAACACCTCGACCAACCAGAGCGAGCTTCGACCCAATCTGCAATCGCGATCACACGCACGGACGCAATTCCCACTCTGCCCTTACATCTTCTCTCGCTACTACCACCACATTCTTGCCTTCGCACCTCTCCATCGCTGGATCAGCTCTGTAGAAGTGTACAAGATGTCAGGTGTGACCGACGCCAACGCTGGTTCGTCTAGCTCCTCGTCCAAGCCCACCTCTGCCAATCCTTTGTCCAGCAATGCCGCTCCCGCTCCTGCTGCTGTCACCGAGGCGGACGACAACGACTCCTCCTCCTCCTCCGATGAAGACGAAGATGGCGCCTCCACCGCTACTGGTGGTGATGCAGCTCAATCCGCTAAACAACGAAAGAAAAAGAAATCCAAAGCAGCAGCCAAACTTCGCAAAAAATTAGGCCTTTCCTCCCCTTCCAATGCCACCTCTACCCCCTCCTCCGATGGCAAACTTCTCGCCTCTGGCAACTCTCGTGATGGCAAGGTCAGCGATGAAGTTGTCTCCCAAGTCCAGCGCGCAGTCACCGAATCGCACGGTCCATCAGCCGCATCCTCCGTAACCAAATCCAACCTAGCCAAGGTAATGGCAATGATGAACCTCGAGCGCGATGCCATGCTTAAATCGCAAGGAAGCAAGCAAAAGGCGCAAAAACAAATTGCAGATCATAAATTTTGGAAGACTCAACCGGTTATGAAGCCTACCGACAGCCCCCTCCTCTCCTCAGAAGAAGAAGGGTCTATAGAGCAGAGTGTACCACCAGAGCAGGTTAGACAAGAACCCTATCCTCTGCCAAACGATTTCGAATGGGTGCAGGTGGATGTGGATAACGAAGCAGAGCTGAAAGAGGTTTATGAACTATTAAGGGGCAACTATGTAGAGGATGATGATGCGACCTTTAGGTTCGAGTACAGTCCGGAGTTTCTGCATTGGGTATTAAAGCATCCTGGGTATAAGAAAAGTTGGCATGTGGGAGTGAGGGTGGTTTCCACGAAAAAGTTGGTTGCTTTTATTTCCGGTATTCCACACGAGCTCAGAGTCCGCGAAAAAGCATACCAGTCAACAGAGATCAACTTCCTCTGTGTTCATAAGAAGCTTCGTTCCAAACGACTCGCTCCGGTGCTGATTAAAGAGGTAACAAGGCAATGTCATTTAACGGGGGTGTTCCATGCAATTTACACCGTCGGATCGGTGCTACCAACACCGGTCAGTTGTAGTAGGTACTACCATCGAACGATTAACGCGAAAAAACTGGTCGAGATCGGATTTAGTGCTGTTCCACATGGGATGAGTATGGATGCTCATATGAAACGGTTCGAGTTACCTGCTAAACCCATTCTTCCTGGATTGAGGGAGATGGAAAAGAAGGATGTTGGAGAGGTGGGGAGATTGATGAGAAGGTATATGAAAAGGTTTGATATGGCTCCGAGATTTAGCGATCATGAGGTGGAGCATATTCTTCTGTCAGGAAGGGGTAAAGATCGGACTAGTGTAGGAGAGGCAAGTAGGAAGAGGAGGGAAGCACAAGTGACTTGGACATACGTAGTAGAGAATGGGGAGGGGAGGATTACGGACATGTTTGCGTTTTATTCTCTCCCGAGTTCGATTTTGGAGAATGACAAACACTCTTCCCTCAACGCCGCGTATCTGTTCTACTATGCGACGGATGCGGTTTTCCAATCCTCGCCACCACCGCCTTCTAGCTCCTCAACGGGAGGGTCGAGCTCGTCCTCACCCGCATCCGAACGCTCTCTTGCTCTAGCTTCTGGGAAAGAAGCTTGGCAATGCAACGCACTGACAAATCTGACCCCCACCGAACTTTCCGACGAATCTTCCGTCACCTCTTGGGATTCCGAACCACCTTCTATCAAATCCGCCCTTAAAACCCGACTAAACCTCCTCATTAACACCCTCCTTATCATTGCTCGGGATTTCGGATTCGACGTGGTGAATTGCGTCACTGTCATGGATAACCCTCTCTTTTTGCAAGAGCAGAAATTTGGACCTGGAGACGGATTTTTGAGGTTTTACCTGTTCAATTGGCGTACGAAGCCAATCGCGGGAGGGATGGGATCTAGACCAGGTGAAGCAGAGTTGGATCCAGTTCAACAGTACGCTAAGTCCATGGCGAAAAAGGCGAGCAGTGGGCAAGAAGATGTGAAGGGTTTAGCCGAAGAGTTGATTAGGAAGGCCGCAAAGAATCCAGCTGACGTTGGAAGTGGGAATGGTATTGTTATGGTCTAACCCCCACTTACACTTTTACTTCACTCAAGCTCACAAACGGAATCAATCACATTCACTCTATCGCAGATGTCTGGCAACGTGCGTGCTACTGTGTTATACAGCATCACTAATCGCTTTATCTCCATTGGCAGTGACTACTAACTAACAGAAGTAGGACTCAACCAAAGCAAATAGACGGTCAAATTGGAACACGCCTGTGCAACTTGGCCCAACAACCTCCTCAAATCCCTTGGAAACTCGTGTGAGACAGAAATCGACTTGATCAGGGTGGAAGTGTTGACGATGGCACGAACGAATTGGTGCGATTTGTCAAAGAGTTTTGCGACGGTTGCTTGAGAGATGTTGTCCGGTGATGGGGTCGCGATGATGACCGGTGCTGTTCTTGGTGGGGCTGAGATTTCGTCTGTGTCGCCCTTGACAATAGCAGCCTCACCAGGGTTGATGGCAGCGGATAGTGGAGAAATGTCATCATCGCCACTGCGATTGCCGTCGAGCGAGATTCGTCTTTGCTCTTCTTCTCGTGCTCGTAGATACGTGGAGCGGAGCTGAGAGGTGAGATCGTCGGTGATGAATGCTAGATCGCGCAAGTCGCGCAGTCTTTGTGTCGATTCTTCGCCCTCCACCACGACCGCGGGAGGCTTGCCTTCAGCAGAAGTATGCTCGCATGTTTCGCCTCCAGCCTCATCTGAAGAAGGACGACCATCTCCGTTGTCGTCGTCAACTCCTGTTCCAGTGGTAGCATCCCTAGTATTAGCATCGGCAGGCAATGCATCTACCTGATGGTCCGGCTTATCATCGACCCCGGCGGATCGAAGATGCTCAAATAGCATCGACCAAACACGAGCAGAAAGCTTGGTAATATCGTCGACCATCTCTAGCAGGTGGTCATCGACGCTGATTTTGGGGTCGGAAACAGCCGCGTGCAGACGACTTCCGGCAGCAGCAGTGGCAGCCGCTCCTCCTAACCCAGCTGCTGTACCGTTTGACTGGGAAGCAGCATGACGTTTGCCTGCTGCTGCAGCTGGCGTAGCTGGAGTAGTGACCTGACTTCTTGGCGTAGCCTGATCCATGGCTGAGCTAGCATTCGATCCGGATCGTTTTTGCCTCGAAGATGTTGGCGTGCTCGTGGCTCCAGGTGTGGAATAAATATTTCGCTGCTGTGACATTGTGGCAGTACTGCCGGCACCACCTGGAGTGCTGGGCGCCGTTGACTGGACCGTTCCATCAACAGTAGTGCTGCGCTCAGACAAGTCGGACTGCGCAAATGTAGCTGCACTGCTGGCGCTGTTGCCCATACTATCCTGGCGTCGACTCTTTGCGCCTTTTGCTGGCGTGTTGTACGCCGACGCAGCTTGCAGATCCTCAAGGTTGAAGGGCGGCTGATTGCTGCCGCTCGGTGTCATCGCGGCTCCCTGAGCCAGATCTTGCGCGCTGAAAGAACCAGCGTGACGACGGCGACTGGCACCTCTGGCCAGGTACGGTCGGCTGCCGGCACGAACTGGAGTAGAAACCTCCGCGATGCTAGGCAGTATCGAGGCAGAACCGTTGCTGGTGGTGCTAATGCTCTTCTGCGCCAGGCTACCAACGCGAGTGGAAGGTGGTGGAGTAGGCTTCTCGGCGCTGGTATTAGCAGCAGAAGCGACATCAGACGATGCCGGCGAGCCGACTTCCTGTTCTATTTGCGTGAGATAAGGTTGCACTTCTTCGACGAGGGGTGCCATCTCGCCCCAACTATTGCTGACCTCAGCCATACTTCCGTAGAGCATCAACAGCAGTGTCCGAGCGTATCGGACATCGGAGCTGCTCTGCAGTGCGCGAAGCTGGAGCTGGAGCACGCTGATTAGCTTGCGAAAGGTGATCACGGAGTCCTTGCAGGTGACGAGAACGCCGCGGATGACACTTGCATCAGGTGTGCCGCGACGTGACAGCGAGTCGAAGCGGTCGAGCGCATTGATCAAGTTGGCTACGGAGCCATTCGAGATATCCAAAAGCCTGTGGAACTGGCTTGATATCCTCTCATCAATGACAGGAGTCATGAACTGACCAATGGCGGCATGGATCTGAGACAGCGCAAAGAGCACGCCGCGAGTGCCATCAACAAACTTGAGGACCGGCGCAGGCACAGCCTTTGAGATGGTCGATGGCGGCAGCGTCGATAGACGTCGGAAGTAGCTGTTGCGCTCCTGGTCTGCTGCGTTGCGTGCGCCGTTGACGGTGGGAGAAGCGGAGCGTACTGGCCAGTTGCCATCGCTTCGATCCGACGCCATCCTTCCGTGACCTACATCAAAGCGTGGCGGAGTGTTACTGCTGTAGCCAGCTCGAGCAGCAAGCGCTGCAGCTGCCGCCTCAGCCGCCGCTTGTGTGGCTCCGACGGTGAGTAAGCTGAGTTTGCGAAGCCCGCCTCCTTGACTCGAGGCTGCAGCAGGCTGCCCTGCACTGAGCGAGGCGCCATAGACCGGGGTTGCAGCAGATCCATTAGCGGCAGCCTCATGCCCCTGACGAGCCGAGGGACCCACAAGATTACCTAGACTCGGTCGAGGTACTCGGCGCGCCTGAAGCAGCGATTGCTTTCGCACGTAAGGCTGCTTGGCGGAGTCTAAACTCTGAGTCGCTTGCATCTGTACGGGATTGAAAGGGGACGCCGCCGCATTCGAGGTTGTGCGATCTCTGCTTCGCATCTCCGGTCCATGAATACTGGTTTCTGAAGCCTTTCTGTCAGGAAGCTGCTCGGCTAAAACGTCTCTGCGTTCCTGCAAAATATCTTCATGACTCTTACGCAAGTCAGGAAGCGACTTTTTGCTTTTCAGCGAGCGACGTCCTTCCATCTGATGTGTGGTGGCAATGTCTTGGACCACAGAGTGCGAGTTGTTGCGGGCATGCTGTCGACTATCGGTGTCTTCCGGTGTGAAGTCACTTGCCATCACATCACTAGGACGTGCAGGCAATTCTGGCCTGACTTCCTGCGGTATCCGTGATTGCGTGGCCGCACCTCGGACATGGTCTTGTTGCGGACTCGGGGTCATCACGGCTGGTTGTACCGTTGACGATGCACTGGCGGTGGTGCGAACCATGTTGATTCCATGAGCATTAGATGATTGGGGTACCAGCGGAGGGAGTAGTCCAGCTGCTGCTGCTCGTCCGTCCATTGGGTTGGCATCCGCTGCCGCTGCAACTGCAACTGACGGCATGGAGGTGATGGATGTCTGCAAGGCTGTGTTGGCGTCCCCAGCACTTAACGGGTGCGCTTGTTCCTGAACCATCTCTGGCACATCGACCTGAAGTGAGATGAGTCCGTCGGATGGCGCCGAAGGCAGCTCAACACCGTCGGCCCTAGCTGGACTGGCAAAGTCAGCTTCGATGTCGTGTCTTGTCAGCGCGGCAATGTCGTGCGCATTGCTACCGTTCCCGAGAGCTTGTTCTACTGCGTCATTCCGTGGTTGGTTGGCGGGGTCGTTGATCCAGGATCGCAGCTTGGAGATCCAGACGAGCATTTGGCGGTCTTCGAATCGCTTAGCCTTCTCGCGTTCAGCCGCTGCGGAGCTGCTAGAGGAAGAGGGAGCCTTGGGTGGTGCTGCATTGGGCATCTTGGAGATGTGCGGTGGAGGCCACTCGAGCGGGTTGTTATCGAGCTTGAGGATGCGAAGATGCTTCATCCTGCCAATCCATACCGGCAGCTCTGTGAGGCGATTGGCGTTTATGCTCAAAACGCGGAGAGCAAGGAGCCGACCTGGTTCCTGCGGCAACTTGCGGATCTTGTTGCGGCTCAGGTCGAGGATCTCGAGATTGGGCATCTTGGTGACGCATTCTGGAAAGGTCGCAAAGTTGTTGGCACGGATGTTGAGGTAGCGGAGGTTGCTCAGGTCGGCAAAGTTGTCCGGCAGCCGAGTGATGTGGTTGTATCCGAGAGCAAGGCGGACGATTTGATGCTTGATCGCATTCACCAAAGCTTCGGGAAGGCGCTCGATACGTTTATGACAGAGATCGAGGGTATCTAGAGAGTTGCCGCTGTCACTGGCGTCCTTGGTTTGCTTTGATCGCCCAGATGTAGAGAAGGACCCGTTTGCGCGTGGTCGAGCACGCTTTTCATCAATGAAGGCCAGCAATTCCTCTTCTGAAATTGCTCGCTGTTGGTTGTTGCTGGAGGACGCCGGAGAAGCGCTGTAGCTTGCTGCGGGCATGGACGCTGACGATGATTCGGGTATTGAAGGTCCAAGCTGCTGCGTTGAGTGAGATGTATAAATGGAAGACGAAGAGGGCATGGGCGCTTGTGCGTCAAAGGAGCTGGTGGACGGTGCAGTAGAGAAGCCTCGGTATGTCTGCGAGGGGTCTGTAGGTTGGGACGAGTCGGAAGTGCTCCATTGGGCAGAAGCGGTGTGGTCGTCATGCGGGAAGCTTTCTGTTTGTATATACGAGCGGAAGCTGGAAGCTGCTCCTGATTTGCCGGCTCCTATGCCTGCCATCCCTGCGGAGGCACTGATGCCCGCCCCTCGTCCTGTAAAATCCATGCTGCCTGTTGGAGTCGAGGGAGAGGCGACATTTGGTGGCCGCGCACCTCGTTGACTGACGTGCATTCCGACGTACTCGGCGTCTTTGATCGACGAGGACGTTGAATGCGACGAAAGCGGATTGCCTGCTGCAATGCGATGGGCGCTCGAGGCGTGCGAGATTGATTAGAAGAGGGACATGTTTGTTTGAGTAGGTATCTGGCGAGCAACAGTGTCAGATGAATTGTGGCAGATGTATGGTCCACCTGCTGCTTACAGGTGCAGGTGCGATGACGATAGAGAAGAAAGCCAAGGTGGAAGTCCTGGTCGAGTTTGGAGAGATGGCGGTGATGATGGCTTCTTCAGTGGCTTTCGTGTGTGTTTTGAGCGGCTAAGCTCGCTCGGTTGGCAGCCTCGAAATCAAAATAAAATCGCTAAAATCAAGAATAATAATTCCGCAGACTCTCATGCTCCACTTTTGACGCTCGGCGAGGCCGACATTATTGTGACCGCCTCTTTTGCCGTCACTCTTCCACTTGATCACTTCCCATTCCACCTCTCTTCTGGTCCCTTCGACTCAGCTTTTCATGCTTCGGATGCTCCGATCGAGTTGACGCTCAACGCCTGGCTCGAGTCAGATGACCGATCTGCCGCCATCAGCCTACGTTGATCGGGATGATCCCAAGTATGAAGGGTCAATCCAAGTAGGCAACAGGGAGCGAGAGTATCCAGCGCGACGCCGGTCAAGATCGCCGGAAGCGTCAAGGTCATCTGATCCACATCATCGGCGTCCCCGAGATGCCGAGCCTTCGCTGGAACAGCCTCGGCCGGTGCCCTGGAAGGATTTGCGGCTTCCAAACAAGGATGAGAGCCTCACTGTAGTCAGTAAAGCAGATCTTTTGACTCCACCTTCCACTTCCAAACACACTGCCTCCAAGCTTCCGACCACAGCAGCCACCAATCGGATGGCGACCGATATCTCAAAATGGAATCGAAAGCTGGCCGAGCTACACGCAGGCGACCCCACTGACTTGATCTCACGTCGCGGCTTTGCAGATGCATCGATAGCTTCGAAGCAGTCATCGGCCCAAGGCTCGAGGCACGCACCTGCACAGAAGCCATCCGACGTATCAGCTGGGAAAGACTCGAGCTCCCTCCAACCTTCTCCGCACATTATGCAGATGTCAGAAGAGGAGCTGACCAGTTATGACTACAAGGATCAAGAACGCGTCGCTTGTCTTTTGTGTCAACGCAAGTTCAAGGTCATCGACACACTCCACAAGCACGTAAGCCAGTCGCAGCTCCACAAAGACAACCTCGCCAATCTCGACGCCTGTCGACTAGGCGTCGCTCGCAAGCTCGAAGCATTGAGCCAAGCGCAGAAGCCGGCCCCAATAGCCAGCTCATCCACCACGACACAGTCTCAACAAGCAATCCTCCCACCCGGATACAGAGACCGCGCTTCGGAACGAAGAGCCGTCTTTGGTGCCCATACTCCCTCCAAATCCGGCACGCCGAGCACCAAGGTATTTGACGGTCCCAAGGCAGTGCCAGCTCCAGTTGCTAGAGAAGAGCCAGTTCATTCTGCTCAAGAGAAGCCAATTGAAAGCGACAACTTTGGCAGCAAGCTGCTTGCTATGATGGGCTGGACCCAAGGTCAAGGTCTTGGCCTCCAAGGCCAAGGCAGGACCGATCCTGTCGAGACCAAGATCTACAAGCCGGGAGCAGGTTTAGGCAGTACCGCTCCAACTGATACAGCCGCCCACGAGGCCAATCTCAACGCAGCACCCAGCCGCAAATCCGGCTCAAACGTCGCGTTCGCTGGTTATTTGGAACGCGCCAAGGACCGTAAGTATCCTCCTTCACCGGCTTGGCTCATGATTTCAGCGGTCAGCTGAGATCCTTCCATTTCAAAACACTAGGCGCACGACAACGATTAGCAGAACACTCGCAGCACCCTCAACAACAGCAGCAATAGATCCATCACTTTGACCATGATACATTACCGGACTTCCACTGCTAATAGTATCCAGTCTATCCTCATCCCAGCTATGCATCAGCTTCACCTTTGACCCCCCACCATCGCTTCAGCTTTGCGTTCCTTCTCCTTCTCCAACTCCTCCTGCACCAGTCGCTCTACATCTTCCGACCAGTCCTCTTCTGGCGGTCCGTCCTCTTCCAGCTTCGCTTCCTTCTGCTTCCACGCCTCCATCTCATCTTCATGTCCGCGTCGAAGTGCAAGGATCTTGTCGTACCACAACCTTGCTTTCTTGCCCCATTCGCCCGAAGTAGAGGGTCGGAACTCGGCGTAAAGTTCATACCCGCGAGAATTGAGGTACTCGGCTCCGTGCTCCGGCAGCGCTTCTTCAGGCTTTGGTTTCTCTTCTTCCCCGTTCTCCGCTTTGACCCTTCCTGATGGCGGGAGGGGCTCCATGAAGCTATCAGCAAGCAGTGTCAGTGCTCCAAACACACTAGAAAGGGTTTGCGCCATGCTTCTCCGCATGTAGTTAAACGCTTTGTCCGGTGACACTACCTCACCTGCGCTGATTCCGCGGTAGGAACCATCCTGCATCTGCATCACGGGTATCTTGACTCCCATCAACTCAAAATGCGGTTGATTTGGTCCCACTATGTGAACAGCTCTTTCCTTTTCTGCGGCCGGGGTAATGCCGAGACTAATCCCACGTATCGTGCTGGTATAGTTGACATAGCAGTGGGCTAGACTCAGTGCTTCAGGTCTAGTGAATGCTAGACGTTCAAGCAAGATGGTTGCCCAAGAAGTCATGACTGGCGCACGATTGACAACAGCATATCGCCCCCGCAGAGCCTCTTCTTCAAGTATCTCGTTGAATGTATATTCGATTTCGATCTTGCGACGTCCTGCTGCACTGGCTCGACTTTCCGATGGTGCGGTGACATTGCCGTATTCTCGAGAAAGCGTCTCGTCGTCGTCCCGTCTTCGTTTGCGGTATGCGCCAAAGTCTGGAGCTAAACCTGGATTGCTCGACCTAGCAGCCGAACTGGCGGAAGATGAAGAGGGGGTAAATCCGGCTGCTTTTCTGCCTTTGAAAGCTAGCACTGTACGTTTTCGATGTTCTTCCGACTCTATGCCGATATCCTGTAGCATGATGAGTGAGATCTGGGAGAGGGCGAAATGGGTATTGGCCCGAGCATTGATGAGTTTGCCGGCCACTGCCATCGCGTCTCGCATGGGTAGGCCGCCTTTGGAGGAGAGTGTTTTGAGTAGGTCAGGTAGGGGCATAGCTGTTTCCGTTGCCGAGGAAGAAGTAGCTCCAATTCCGCTGCTGCCAGGGGTCGAGGGGCGAGGTTTGGTCGGAGAGGGGGTGGTGGAAGATCGTGCATGAGCAGCGGGGGAAGAGGATGCTTGGGCTCGTGCTTTTGAGAGAAGAGCGGCTGCTCGGGCTGCATGGCTTGCTTTTGACGGCGAGCCACTGCCCCCTGCGCCTGTCTTCTTTGGCGGCATGGCGATCACTCGCTTCCAGCTGCTGGCGTTGTCGTGGATGGTGAGGAGAGGAAGCTGAGAAGACAAGGTGTGAAGGTCGGGCCCTTCATGCATAGCCTAATTTGTGGTAGTTGCTGAGCCAAAATTTGGCCCGAATTCCGAGCTCCGGCGTTTGGCGGCGAGGAAAGGGAAGAACGCGTTCTGCAGCTGCAGGAGCCTTCAACTCTGAGCAACAAAAGCCGAACAGATCGGTACACTCAACAAGCCAAGCAACACGCGCACGGTCACCAGAGGAAACCCTTCATTATTCTTCCCCTCTTCTCTATTCTTCCCCTCTTCTCCTCCCCTTCTTGCCTTCTCTCACCACATCATACTGCTCATTCCTGCATACTATTGCAACAATGGTATTGGACCGCCACTCAGCCGCAGTGGCCAACTCGGTCCATTCTCCTCGCAAGAAACTGCGCATCGGATTCATTCATCCTGACCTCGGTATCGGAGGAGCTGAAAAACTCGTCGTCGACGCCGCCCTCTCCCTCCAGCAACTCGGTCACGAAGTCGTCATCTTGACTTCGCACCACAATCCACGTCACTGTTTCGAACCTACACGCGATGGCACCCTCAAAGTACAGGTCATGCATACTCTCGTGCCTCGATCCATCTTTGGGTCTTTCCACCTCCCCTGTGCTATCTTACAACAGATGAGTTTGGTGTTTCAGCTCATACTTGCGGTCATGCTGTTCAACTATCCGGGCACGCTGCCGAGGTTTGTCACGAGGAGGTTGACGAGCTCTCCGCCGATTCCGGGATTCGATCTGTTCTTCTTTGATCAGTTGACAGCGGGTATTCCGTGGTTGAAGATTCTTTTGGCGACTAGGGTTGTGTACTACTGTCACTTTCCCGATAAGGATATTGGGAATTCGATTGCGATGCAAAAAGCTCATGCAAGGGGTGAATCGGGACCATCAGTGTTGAGGAAAGTGTATCGGCTGCCTTTTGACTTGTTCGAGGAGGGGACTACGGATTATGCGGACAAGATTCTGGTAAATTCCGAGTTCACTTCTGCTCAGTTTGTCAAGAGCTTTTTCAGGCTGAGGAGGCAACCGAGAGTAGTGTATCCCGGTGTAGACTATTCTCAATTCGAGCCGAAGAAGGTGGAGGAGGGAATGAAGAGGTTGGAGAAGGAAGCTGAGGGGATGGGCGATCCGATTCGGAGTCAGATTGCGAGGTTTTGTAGGGATGAAAGCAAGACTACGTTGTTGTCGGTGAATAGGTTTGAGGCGAAAAAGAATGTCGCATTGGCTTTGGAGGCTTTTGCGATTGCTCGGAAGGAGTTGGCTGCTACTGAGGGTGATGTGGGCAGGTTGAGATTGGTGTTGGTGGGTGGATATGACAAGAGGGTTGGAGATAATGTGGCCACGTTGAAAGAGCTGCAGATTCAGGCCAAGGAGTTGGGGTTGAGTGCGGTGACGATGAGTTACAACAGAGCGACGTTTGAGGTTCCTACCACCGCACCACCTGCCGAGGAGTTGGGTAGGGCTAATGTTGTGTTCCTCCCCTCGCTCCCGATGCCACTCATCCACACGCTCTTGCTCAATCCTAGCAGCAAAGCCCTCCTCTACACACCCACCGAAGAACACTTTGGTATCGTCCCCCTCGAAGCCATGGCATGCGGTCTACCCGTTCTCGCAACCAACACCGGTGGACCGGTTGAAACGGTCGTCGATCTCGCTCTCACCTCGGATTCCTCCCCCACCAACGACTCCGGTACCGGTCTCCTCCGTCACCCTTCACCTCCCATCTGGGCCGTTTCCATCATTGCCCTACTCAAACTCAGCCCTCAGGATCGAGAGAAGATTTCCACTGCAGCCAAGAAGAGAGTTCAGGAAAAGTTTAGTACTGACGTTCTCTCTCTAGCTCTCGAAAAAGCTTGCTATGATGCGTATGAGCTGGGAAGGGTTAGGGGAGATGAGGGGTTGTATCAGTGGGGATCGACTGGTGCGGTTTTCATTGTCATGTCAACGTTGTTTTGGGTCAATGTGTATTTCAGCCATGATAAATGGTTGGCTCAGCAAGCGGCCAAGTTGGCGAGGGAGAAGGATAAGTGGTTAGCTGAGTTGAGGGCTGGTGGTGCTCTTGGTGGGTGAAGAGGAGCAGCTGGGTTGAATGCGAATGCGAATCCTGTTGCTCAGGCTCCGGCCTACGCTGTTGTATGTGGTTGGTTGGTTGGTTGTGTGTGACGTGTGAAAACCTGCCTTTCTTTCTGTGTTTGAAAATTTGGCGTAAAAATGGTTGCTGATGCTGCCGATGCAATGGAAATCATCCTCTCGAATTTTCCCTGCGCCAATTCTAGGCATTGCAGAAGGAGAATGTGAGAAATTGCGGGGAATATCTCTGATTCCGTTTTTGACAGGTTTGACTGCGTCACACGCTTGTCTACTGTGCCTTTCTGTGCCATCCACTTTACACCTCGCTCCCTTTGCTGATCATCACCATCACCTTCTCCGACAGCATTCTCCATCTCCAGTCGGCCACGCTCCCTAGATCTATCCTCTTTGTCTCCGGCACGGGTAGCTTTCGATGGGCAACTTGCATTCGCCCAGACAACATCGACCAGAAACAGTGCTCTCGGAAACCCACTTCATAAAGGTCGGACCCTAGTTTCATCCACACAGATACTCGTGCATTTGGAAGGATGAAGACTCAGCTTCTTGCAGCAGCAGCCTTTGTTTTGGCATTGGCGTCAAATGCGGAAGCACAAGCTACGGCTGGTGTTCCTGCTTCGATCAATGGTATGTTTGCCCCACCCTGGACCCAAGCACTTTAAGATCCTTGTACCCCTTACTGGCTGTCACTCTCTCATCTATTTTCCGTTTGGTCCTCACGCTCCTTTCACTTCGTCGCCTCTCTCTTGCCCATCTCTCTTGGCAACGTCGTAGTGGGAAATGGCCAAGCAACAGCAGCAATCCCCTCCGGTCTCGGCGGCCTCTCCACCGGAACAACAGCCCAATTCACCCCTGGAGCAGCCATCCCTGGTACCGCCTCTCCTTACTATGTCGCTACAAACGCAGCAGAATCTGCAACCCTTGCTTCGCTCCTAACACACTACTCTCAAGGATTGACCGCTGCCACACCCACCACTGGCCCTCCAAAAGAAATTAGCACAGGTGTACCAGGTGGTTTCACAGGGAACAACACCGGTAGCATTCCAAATGCTGCTACTACTTCTACTGGGCTTAGAAGTCCGACATCTGAAAATGCACAGGGTCAAAGTTCAGGTGCAGATAGTCTGACGAGGTGCGGTCAAGGTGGATTGTGGAAAGCCAGTATGGGTGTCTTTGTGGGCATTGTTGGTGGTGCTGCTTGGATCCTTTGATCTATCTCTTCGCCTGCCTGGCTCGCGGGAAGGCCTTCTTGTTAGGTACGGACGAGTCTCTCCTTTTTGGGCCTTTTCTCCGCCCGTCGCTCTATGCCCTTTTGCTTTGTCCTTTCTTTCACCGAAAGTCCGTCTTTTACCTTGACTGGATGACGGATGTGAAAGAACTCCCATTTCCGCTGTCGGCTCCTTTGGACTCCTCTTTGTTTACCTTGTTCTCTTATGGCTGCGTTTGAATACCATTCTTTGTTAAGGATGACGGATGATCGTTTGCGTTCATGCTCTTGCTCAAGTCCATCCTGCACTTTCGACGCCCAAAGCAGTGCGTGCGATACCTCTCATCCTCAATGTTTCAACACAAACCACAACTCAGTCACAGGCCAAACATGAAAGCTTGAAAACAATGTCAAGGTTGTACATGGAGCAAGAAATTTATCGCAAAACTCCCACCTTACTTGCCCTTGGCAGCATCCCGAATCGCATCCCTATTCTCTCTCTTACATCTCGCCCACAGCCCCGAATCATCGCCCAAGATAAATCTAACGGTCACCATCGGCCAACTTTCGTGTCTGGGCAAGCAATCATAGAACTCTGGCGCCATCTTCCTCAACTCGGGCAACCTAGTCCAGGGTACGGAGGGGAAATCATGATGTTCGTTATGATATCCGACATTGTACGCCAGGATGTTTAACGGGCCGTAATAGGACCAAGTTTCCTGTTGAATGCCACCGAACATGTAGTGTTCTGCTATAAAGTGTGCTGCACATGGATGCAAGGATCCTGCAAAGAAACTACTCAACAGTAGATATAAGAGTGCGTTCCACCCAGCCAACTTGACTAAAACAGTGTTGAAAGATAGGATAAAGGCAAGGTTTAGTCCATGCCAGATTGTGGGACGTTGGGTACGAACGAAGCCAGGTCGTAAAGCGTAGAAGAAGATCTGAAAGGTTGCGAAAAAGGTTTTGCCCAGGACATTGCCGAGTAAGATTGATTCGAGTCGAGTCGGAAGATCTGTATCCGTTCCGTCTTCTCCGAGATATTTATGATGTTCGAGATGGTAAGGTTTGAAAGCCATTGCGTAGGGGACTCCGATTGAGGCGTTGACTAAGATTGCCCAAAGACGATTTGCTTTTAAACCTTTGAATGCTAGGTTGTGCGTGATTTCGTGGATTGCAAGGAATGTGTTTTGGTTTGCTGTTCCTCCGATTGCGTATGCGATCAGAAGCAACTTCCACGAGAATGGGTGGAGAGAAGTGTAGCGCGAGAGATAAACCGCGATGGAGAGTTGGAGTAGTAGGACAGAGAGGGAAACGTATTTGGTTAACGGTTCGTAGCCCATCAACTTGCGAATCTCAGGATGGGCTTTAAGAATAGCAGTTCTTCGAGAACGGTGTGGTTCTTCGGTGTGCATCCAGAGGAAATCGTCAGGTTGGGTTCCGGTGGGTACGATGGGGGGCAACCATGCTTTGCCATCCACCACCTCTCCTCCTTCTGCGATCTTCGGCGGGAGGGAGGAGAGGGGTTTATCATGCAACTCCTGCTGCTTTGATTTGGGGGTGTTGTGTTGCTCTCCGTCAGAGTCGGATGTGAAAGAGGTGGAGGAATCGCCTAAGGAGGAAAAGTTAGGTGAGGAGGAGCGGGAGTTGCGCACTGAAGAAGCGGAGGAGGAGGCTGAGGATGCTGTTGATTGCTTAGTTCGTAGGTTTGGATGCTGGGAGGTTGTGGGTGGGGAGGTGGATTCGGCTCCGCCATATAGAGACCAATCGACGTGGATGGTCGAGTTCATTGCGCGAGTTGCGCGCGATTTGATTGCGGAGAGCATCGTGTGCAGTAGCTGATTGAGTGTCAGGGCAAGTAGCCGCGTGCGCTACGTTGGTGGTGAGTCGTGAGACTGTGAGGTGGTATCGACTGGGGCGAAGGCGCAGTGGCGTGCGAAAAAGAAGATGCAAGTTCGGGCCCTTGACTTTGGTAGGACAGATCAGGCTGAGTATGAAGCGAGAAGAAGAGAGGCGGTCAAGTGAAGAGGGGAAGGTTTTTCTTGCAACGGTTCACAGGCTGGCTTCAAATCTTCAAATGTGGGGGGAAAGCAGCAACAGCAACGTGCACCTCTTTTTTATTATTATTACGATTATTATTATTATTATTATTATTATTATTATTATTATTATTATTATTATTATTATTATTATTATTATTATTATTATTATTATTATTATTATTATTATTATTATTATTATTATTATTCCTTACTGAGACACACAACGCGAAGAAAACTTGAAATTCAGGCAAGCGCCAAATCTGAGCTCTTTTGGCTTTGCAAAATCTCAACACACGGGCCAAGCTTCTCCGCTTTCTAGAAGAATGTTTGAAACGGTGGCCTAACAGTATGTCTCTTTCTCACAACGTGTCTAACTGCTTGAAGGACTGGTGTTGATACACTGTGGTGCGGCGACTGTGCTGTGTGTTGTGTGGTATCGATTAGGATCGCCAGTGGGAGCTACACTTGCTCGGGTAGATCTGGCAACCAAAATGCCACTTCTGCCCCTGCGCTCAGGATCTCTGGCGGTGTGAGAGCATAATAGCAGTGGAAGGGAGGACAAAGCATCATCAGAAATCGATCCAGCGCAAGTGAGCGCTAGTGTCACTGGGGATGGGAACTTACGAGCATATCTGGGATTAAATGCCAGCACCCGACTGGCACCATCATGTCCACTCTGCTTATACTTGGGTCTCAAATTCCTAAATTCATTCCTTTTTGCCTCTTCCAGATCGATATACCAGAACACCACCGAACCATCTGCCGAACCCGACAAGACCCACTTCCCATCTGGCGTCCAGCACACTTCTTGCCCACTTATCCCTGCTTCAGCCACCATTCCTATCCCCACCCCTGAAGCCTTCTCCAATCCTTCATGTCCGATCAGCCTTGCCACAACCTGACCTCCGTCTGAGAAAGTGTCGATGACATAATGCACGTCCCCTGACGTTCCCAACAAAAGATACTGGCTGTCGTTTGTAAACGTCAACGAGGTGATGATCGGCATCCTGGGTGGCATTGATACTTTGCTGAGCGCTGCAGAGTCGTCGAGATGAACCACGAGGAAAGGCATTTGGTCGAATTTGCGAATATCGTAGAGGAGGACAGCTGATCGTTCATTGATCGCCACTGCAAACACTTTCCCTGTCGGATCATACGCTACTACGGGATGCCCTTTCAGATGCATATGACCTTGAGCGCTTGGTGCTCTCAGATCCCACAACTTCACCGCTTCGTCTACGCTGCCTGATAAGAACGTGTCGTTCTGAGGACTCATTTGGAGAGACACGACTTTGTTCTCGTGTCCTTCAAAATAGCGTGTGTAGACTTTGGTTTTGGTGTTACAGTACCGTAAAGCATTGTTCTCTTTGGTAGATGCATAGAGGATCGAGTCTTTGTCGTGGGTGAAGCGTGCCAGATGCGCACCGTATTTGAGCGAGGCAATCTTGGTTTTGTGTGTGCCTGGGCGGACGTCGTAGATGTGCATATAGTCGTCTTCGCCTGCTGTGATACATTGATGGCCGGCGTCGTCGAACGAGGCAGAGGTGACGCAGGTGCCTTTGGCGACGTACTGCGTAAAGACTTTGGCTGGTTTGAAGGCTGAGATGAGTTGAGCGGTTATGGCAAGCTTCTTGGTATCGCTCGACGAGGTCGAGGTGGGTGCACCCGCAGTCGATGAGGAGGAGGCTATCAATGTCGCCATGGCCGAAGTATGCTCAGACCTAGTTGCACTGTTGCTTTCGACTGGACTTGGTCGGGAGTATGGGTGATGGACAGTGAGATTGGAGGTAGAAGATGTCATCCTCCTCCATCGTCCGAGTCGAGTGTTGGTCTTGGCGCATGTTACACCGTCATAAAGTGCGGGAACCGCTGGAAAAAATAAAATCAAAAAAATATAATATAATATAATATAATATAATATAATATAATATAATCAAAACATGCGCGCCAATCTGAGGCTGAGTCGGCATTCCAAATGGCCGAAGCATCGGAGCTCGACTTTCTCTCTTCGACTTTCTTTCCATTGCAGCAATAATAGCAACTGATGATGAGCAGCGCAATGCCCCGCTATATTGACTCATTCGGCTAGTATCATAAGGCCAATGTTTCTCGTGGCGGATTGGTATGAGATCTCGGAAGCACGACACGAGCACACTTGGTAAGAGCAGCTAAGAATGGAGTGAGTAATGCTTCACTGGGTTGAGAAGGGTTTGCTTGGCTGAACCTCCGAGATGGTACCACGAGAAAGGCAAACGGAATGTGTTGAACAAGCCGTCTTCTGTGGATCCTTTTTCGCGGCCCTTTTTGCGTCCGCATCTTTTGACTTTCTTCCGCACCGACCATCTTCATCACCAACACCTTTCTTTCGTACCCTTGACCACTTCTTACGCTCGTCGGTTTCCTGCCTCGTCTCACGCTACCTATCGAACCGACTTGGGCACACTCGCATCTTTCTAGACCATCCAGTGTCTTCGAGTTGGGCATTGCTGCAAAGCCTTCATAGGAACGACACTAGACCGCACAGGCTTTAAGCCCTCTCGTTAGCATCAACTGCCTCCACGCTAGCCGCTAACGCAACCAGCACTTGCTACAGGCAGTTGCAAGTCTCAAGTACATTCTCGTTCTGCGCATCGCCGATACGACGGCAAAGCTGCCAACATGCTTTCGCCAAAATCCGAGTCGTACCACGACGCTCTCTACCACCTGGCTGCAGCAGCAGAGTCCTCCCCATCACCGCAGCCTGGTAGTCACTATCAAGAAGGAGGACCGCACTACCCGCCCTACCACCATGCTCCTCATCACAGCCACCAGCACCAGCATTATGATCCTACCCAACAGCACCACCCGGCACAAACCCGGCACTACTCCAGCACGCAGCCTGTTCATCGGTCATCGCATTCACAGAATCAATACAGGTATTCAGATCATGGCTATTCCCCAGTGTCAGCCTCCATATCTACCTCACGCCTTCCACCACCATCCAGCTCCTCCATCCATCCCGAAGGATCGTCCGCTCCAAGACCTTCGCCATCTCAGCCCTCGGACCGCAGCGACGGTCCACCCATCCGCACCGCATCCGACGCTTCCAATTCCGCTGCCGCTGCTACAGCCGCAGCCGAAAAGAAGATCTCATGCATGGAGTGTCGTCTCTCCAAAGTCAAGTGTTCCGGCGGTGACCTCTGCACTCGTTGCAAACGTCTAGGCAAAGAATGTTACTACAAGTCTCACAAGCGTGGGCGCAAGTCCGATAGCTCCAAGATTCAGAAACTCGAGAAAACCGTCGACTCGCTCAGCCGCGCGCTTGAGCAGTTCTCCAAGAACAAAGGCGCCGTCGCCGCCGGCAGTCCAGGCAGTTCGCAATTTCTCTCCAAAGCTGCATCGGCTGATTCAAAAAAGCGCGTGTTGGAGAAGGAGGAAGTGTCGTCTCCCGATGCGTTTATGAAAGGTGCAGGCGGGGTGAATGCGGCTTCGTCTTCCGTGGGGGCTATGTCTCCGCCTTCGCATTCGCCTCGTGCGGCTATGAATGGCGGCAGTTGGAGAACTTCGCAAGTGTACAGGCAGAGGTCGATATCTTCTTCGTGGCAAGCACCGCAGAGTATTACTTCTGCGACGCCTACGTCGGATGATCCAGATGAACCGGAGAATTTGGGTTTGCCGACCTTGTCGAATCCGTTGAAGCTGTTGGCCGCTGCTAGTGCTGGAGCTCGTGATCGAGATAATGGGTTGGCAAGTGCTGATGCGGCTACTTCCGGTTCTTCGCCTTCGAATGAGTCTGCTTCGCAGACCGGGCCCAGTACGGCATCTGCTGCTGATCTCGACTCAGCAAAAGACGCTCCGGAGGCAGTGGCGCAGAATGGCAACGACGACAAATCCACCACATCACAACAAGCCTCAACTACCACCACCGACGGCAAGTCCATAGCGGTGGACAGCAACCGTCGAGTTAGTCTTTTCGGCAATTACCCACGAACCACCAACTCCCGCACAGTCGGTCCCGGTCGAGGTAAAGCATTCTTCGACATTGGTCTCTTTTCCACCAAACTCGACAACCTTCCTGAATTCGATCCTATCAATCGTGGATACCTCACCCTAGCAGAGGCGGAAAGTTTATACAGCGTCTTCATGCAGTACATCAATCCAGCGCTTACGTTGCTTGACCCGCATCTGCACACGTTCGACTATGTCAGGTCATGCTCAGCACTGCTACTGAGCTGTACCTGTTGGATTGCGGCAAAGTACAGGGTGGAAGCAAGCCAGATTGCAGCCGATTTGGAAATGCATATTCGCTCCAACCTTTTGCCTACCATATTGATGGAAGGTTTTCGTAATGCGGAAATCCCACAGGCCTTGATTATTCTAGCGGCCTACCATCCACAGATGAACACCTTGTCCGAGGATAAAGCTTGGGCTTACGTCGGGTTCGCTATTCGTATCGCTTCCGAGCTCGATATGAACTCTCGGATCTCTGTTCGTCCACCGAATCGACAAGATGATGCGGGCTTGGCCAGGAGATTAAGGAATAGGGAGAGGACATGGTTGAATCTGTGGTTGTTTGAGACCAGTATGAGTCAGCATATGGGTAGAAGGCCTACGTTGGCGAACGATCCGGTGGTGATGGGATGTGCGCATTGGCATCTAGACAAATACGCTTTGCCGGGGGATAAGGCGATGGTGGCGGTGGTACAGTTGAGGTTGTTGATGTTGAGGAATATGGAGTTGTTTGAGAACTTTGTTGATGTCAGTGTAACGCATCTGCCGGCGGAGAGGACGGCGAAACAGGTGGAATTGTTCAGAAGGATTTGTGCGAGCGATTTGGATACTTGGTTGGCTACTTGGACTGGGCCGGCTCAGCAGCAGGCTTATCAACCTTCTGCTTTGGAAGCTTCGTCCGCTACACCTGTTGCCGCAGCGGAAAAAGTTCGCGATGGGATATTGGGCACAACAGACCTCCCCCCAACGCTATCCCGAGTCCATCGCTTGAAGCTGTACTACTGGTACGCACGCCTGATCCTCGACACAATCGCTCTCAAATGCAGCCATCTCGGGCTGGAAGTTCTTCGCCCAGTCTACAAAGACGCATATGCATGTTGCATGGCCTACCTCGGTCTCTTCGTCGCGACTATGGTACCTAATGGGCTGTTCTGGGGCCATAACTCGACGGTAGTCACACCGGTGTACTGTGCGATTTTCGCACTACGCATCGTTGGGTTGATTTCCACTTCGGCCGGTGCGGCTAGTTTGCAGGTCAAATCGCTGCCAACGGGTGGAGGTAAGAAGGACGGAGGCGAGGAAGGGGAGGATTTGGGGATTGACATTGATGCAGAGTATACTTTTGAGATGGTGGAGAAGGTGGCAAGGGTTTGTGAGGAAGCGGGGAAGGCGACGCCGCACAGGAGGGGTGCTGCCGGTAGCTATGCGTTTTTCTTGTTTACGGTGCTGGCGAAGGCGAAGAGTGCTTGGAATGCTAAGTTGGCGCGAAATGAGTCTAGCGAGGGGCCTGAGGGTGGGGAGAGGGGGAAAAAGCGAGACAGAGAGGATGGAGAGGATGAGGTGGAGGGTGCTGGAGACAAGAAGGAGAAGAGTGGGAAGAAGAGCAAGGGATGGCAAGGTGCAGCTAATGAAGGTAGCAGAGCTGAGCAGGGGAAGAACTGTGCTCATATTGGAACGGAGGACGGAGCGACGTCAGCAGCAATTAGGGGAGATGTAGTGACGAACAACGACCCAACAGCAACAGGATCAGCTACTCCAGCTCCAGACCCAGACCACCAATTCCTACGTCAGCTCATGCAGTTCCAAGCAGGTCCAAGCGGTGTTCAGACTGCGATTGTCAACCCCATCCCCCCCTCTTCTTCTTCCACACAACACCTTCCACCTCATCATCAACAAGCATACCCGCCTCACCACTCTTCTTTCCCGGGCTTTACACCCTACACCGCGCCTCAATCCGGCTATACCCCGGGCAGCACCAACGGCATGCCCATCGTTGCGGGACAGAATGGTGCAGGAGCTGCCAATTTCCTCGGCAATATGGAGAATGGAGCTCAGCAAGCAGCAGGAGTGGTGTCTGGTGGTAATGCAGCAATGGAGGGCAGAGAAGCAGGAGGGGTAGTGGACATCGATTGGGATTTTGGAATGTTAGATGGATTCCTTGGTGAATCGCTGTTCAGTGATATGAGTTTCATTTCTTCTTCTGCTACTGCGCCTAACGCTACTGGGAACGGTTTCGAGGCTTAAGCTTCACACCCTATCGTTCAGAACGTAATCTATCTTCTATGCTGCGCCCTTCAACTTGCTCAGAAGCGATTTGCGATTGATATTGTGCTACCAAATGAACCTAAACACGCCCATTATCAGACTGTATCGAAGCAAAAAGCAAAGCAAAAGAGTGTATCAGCGCATGTTCCTCCAATGCTGCAAATGAGGGGAGTCGGCACTTACTTAGCAACAACCCCAAACAGAACCGCAACCTGCATAGTCCCGCCAAAAACAGCTTCTCTCATCATCAAGCCCCTCTCCCTCTCCCATTCTTCCTCATCATCCGCTCCCTCTCCCTCATCCCCTTCCCCCAAACTATTTGGTATCGAGCTCGGATGCGCTTTGTCCCGGAACCAAAACAATGGCACCAGCGGCGGCACAAAGAACCCCACGAGAAGTCCCTGAAAAACTGTCATATATGCTCCTCCTCCACCTCCTTCCTCTCCGAATTCGGGAAGTGTGGGGTTAGCGGTGGTGGTGGAAGTGAAATTGTCCATCCAGCTTTCTTCCATTTCGAGCAGGTGTTGGGAATGCTCGCGGGATTGGATCAGGTCGTATGATTGTGGGAGGGGATGGGTTGAGCGGAATTGGGACCGGATGGTGGAGATTTCAGTTGGGGACAGGCCGGCGTCTAGGAGTCGGTTGAAGCCACGATTTCGGTCTGTAGAGAGACTGTCGGGATTAAGAGGATCTTCGAGGGATGGGTCTGGGCCGAATCCGTCGATGAGGGGAACGGAGGCGGGTGCAGCGGGAGAGGACGGAGATGGCTGCGGCTGGGACTCGACTTCACCAACTGAACATTGGAGGTATACGGCGGGTGCAGTACGGATTGTGAGTCGGACCAGATCGTCGTAGTATGATGGTTCGCGGCTTTTACCCTTTGCCTTTCTCTTTCCCCCTATCTCTTGCGGTAGACCAGCGTCATTGCCATCTGTTTCATCTGGGTTAGCTTGACTCGAAAGCCAATCGATCAAGTCTCGAACGGGCATTTCTTTCTTCTCCACCGCATCTTTCTCCCCTTCCTTCTCTTCACCTTCCTCTCCTGGTCCTGCAGCACTTCCTTCACTCTCCTCATCTTTATCTTCGCTATCCCTCCTCCCATTCTCTCCGATGTCTGAGTCGGTGCGCGCGGAAGCCTTATCAAGAGCCAAATGCCGTAACATCCCCCTCCTCTGAATCTTCTGCTGCAACTCCAATTCATCCAAATAGCCCACCAGCTTCACCCCGTCCCTCAATATCCTCCCCGCATGAATCAACCTCAGCCTCCGATCCCTCACACTCTCCCGACTTTTAGCCATCTTCTCTTTGAGCGTTCGGACGAATTCATCTCCCATCAACCCTCTTTCGTTCAACTCTGCTATCAATTCAGTGATCGAGGATTTTGAAGGTTGTGTCGAGGACAACGGTGCTTCTTCTACATCGAAAATTAAGTTTTCGTCGGCTGCAGAGGTTGAGGTGGGAGGAGGATGGAGAGGGCGTAAAGAAGTGATAGAGTGTAAAGGGAGGCGAAGGTCAGGTACTCCAGGTTCAGTGAATCGGATTGTGATTGGTCGGAAGCGGATGCTGGCATGTAGTGTGGGGTTGGAAGTAGATGTCCCTATGCCCAAGTCGACTTGCACCGAATCTTCGGTGTCCATGCTGTCGACAGAGAAGTGACGAGGGTGGTGATGATGGTGGAAGCGAAGAACGTGTGCATGAAGTTGGACCCTGAATGATGGTGAACAGTGCGCGTTCTGTAGACCCAGAAAAATTAAGTTTCACACTCCAATCCATCATCAAAAGAAACAAAAAGACTTATCGTGCGAATGGATACATGCGCATTAATTGAAGATAACAATTAATATACGGCGTTATCGGGGTCACGATCAGACTCCCTTTGCCACAGCCGTATGTTCTATGTAATGCTTAGTTTTCATAGTGTGAGACTAAATGACAAACACATATATATACTCCATTCACTGCTCTGATCCCATCCGAGGCAGGGTGTGTTCCTTCATTTGTACCCCTGTGTTGCTATGATACCGGGTGCCACTGTGCTGTCACCATGACAACAATTGCGTACCTCATTGTGCTCCTCGCTTATGTGAGCCTCCCGTATCTCGATGTCTCGGCCGTAACACGTGCACCTTGCTTGAGATGCCGACGCATCTTCAACTCCCCCCTTCGGCGGGATCTCCAGTCCTATCATCCTAGCCAATCGTGAGGTGTTAAAACCCTGTAAGGGTTTTGTCAAGACATCTGCAACGTTGTTTGCCGTTCCGACATATTTGATCTCCACATCGCCCTCTTGTACGTGATCGCGTACGAAATGATACCGTGTGTCGATGTGCTTTAACTTCCAATGTTTGGCTGGGTCTTTACTCACCTGTATGCACCCCTGGCTGTCTGTGTATAGTACGGGCCGAACGCCCGTGGCCTCCAAATCCCGGAGCAAATATGAGAAGAATAAGGTTTCTCGTACCGCTTCGGAAGCGGCGACAAACTCTGCTTCGACTGCCGACAGTGCCACACACTTCTGAACGTGTGATTTCCAACTCACCGGACATCCATACACATATGTTATCGACCCCGAGGTACTTCTTCGTCCATTTGTGGGGTCGGATGCCCAGTTTGCGTCGGTATACGTCGTTACCGGTGTATCCGAGTGCTCGTTTGTCTCTCCTCCTAGGTGTAACTGATATTCGTTCGTTTGGTTCAGGTACTTTACCACGTGGACAGCTGCCTTCCATGCACTGTCGATCGGGATCGACATATATCGCGCCAATACGCTGACGGCAAAGGCAATATCTGGTCGGGCTGTGTTGGAGACCCATAATAGTTGGCCGACCAATTCTTGATACCTCTTTGCTCGCTTAGGTTCACATCGCTCGCCTCCGGCGGTGTTCGCTACACTCAGCATGGGTATCCAGGATTTCTCGTTTGCTCCTCCTAACCATTTGTTCACCATTTCCTTGATGTATGCCGTTAGACTCAGGGATATCCTCCTCCGTCTTCTATCACGTATAATCTTGATACCCAGAAATTCTTTGATCCTTCCATTGTCTTGCGTCTCCCATTTGTCCATGATCTCCCGCTTTGCGCGGTCTACTTCCTCACGACTGGGTGATGTTATCAGCATGTCGTCCACGTATGCTGTGATGATCGTGATCCTGTCGCCTGTCCCTCTTGAGTATAGGCATGGAGCGCTCTGCATGCAATGAAATCCGATCGTCCGGAGGTGTGAGTCTAACTCAATGTTCCATTCTCGGCCCGACTGTTTCAAACCGTACAGTCCTTTCACTACCTTCAACACTTTTCCGGGTGGTATTTCGATTCCTACTGGGGGCTTGAGGTATACATCATGGTGTATAGTGGAGTTCAGGTACGCTTGCTTTACGTCAATAGAATCCATTTCCCAATCTCGTACTGCTGCGACCGCGATCACCCCTCGAATGGATTGGATAGGTGCTACTGGTGCGAAGACCTCTGTATAGTTGATGCCCTCGCGTTGAGTGAAACCTCGTGCCACGAGCCGGGCTTTGAACTTTGTTGGCACGAGGTTTGCATCGGTTTTGATCTTGAGTACCCAACGTGTGTCGACGGTGTTTGCACCCTTTGGAAGGTCGACTATCTCCCATGTGCCCATCGCCTCCAATCCATCCAGCTCCTTTCGCATGGCCTCCTCCCAGTGCTTTCTGTCCTCTCCATTCATTGCTTCATGTATGGTTGGGTCCAGGTTCTTTCTCCGTTCCGGTCGCGTCGCTACGAGTCCATAGAATTCGCTGTCAATTTGAGTTTCGGCGATTGGTCCTTGTTCCATCACCTCTGCTATTCCTTCGCGTGATCTTTCTTCCGAGTCTGACTCCATATCCATATATTCTCGTAGTGGCTCTTCATCTGTTTCGTCGAATATATTTTCTTTGTTATATCCTAGATCTTCGAGATTTTCTTCTGTCATCGTCATTGGGGGTGCCTTTGTATCAACCGGTCGCCACTCTGTTCTGTCTGACCAGCACTTTGATTCCATGAATTTTGCTGAATTGCTCCAGAAGATGTTCGGATTGTAGTCCGGGCTGTAGAAAAGCCAGCCCTTTCGCTCTAGACTGTACCCTAAGAAAATGGATGCGACGGCTCGCTGGTCCAGTTTCTTGTTGTCCCGTTTAACTTTGGGTATGTTTACCCATGCCAGACAACCAAACACTCATAGGAGCTTTAAAGCTCGTTCCGGCGACTTGCCAAACATCGCTTGATAAGGGAATTCATTATCAATGCTCGGAGTGAGGTTTATTTTGAACGCTGCAGCTCTGATCGCGTATGGCCAGAACTTCTTCGGTAGTCTCCTCTGCATTAGCAACGTTCTCATCTTCTCTCCAAGGGTCCTGTTCATTCTCTCTACCCGTCCATTTTGTTTGCTGTTGTACCCTACGGTGGTTTGCCACTCTATGCCCTTTTCTAGCGACCATTCTAATGCATCATTGCTTTTCCATTCTGTTCCTTGATCGGATCGGATCGCTTTTAGCTTCTGATCCGTCTGTGTCTCCAGGAACGAAACAATCCTTTTAAGTTGCATAAAGGCATGACTCTTTCGTGTCAATGGCTGTGCATACACATACTTGCTATGATCGTCGACCAGCACCAACGTGCATGTATACTCCGTCACGTGGGACGAGTCTATTATTAGATCGACGTGGATAAGATCCAGGGGCCCTACGGCTCTCTCGCCGCTACCTTTCCCCATCCGAGCGCTTGTGCTCTTGGATCGTACGCACTGCTCACATGTCAGAGCGGTGTTTGGATCCAATTTCATGGTATGTGTCATGGGCCTGGATGCTCAAGAAGCAGGAGGGTCATGGGTTCATATGGAAGGAGCACAGGTATCGAAGACCTAGTCGACACCAGTAGAGAGCATGGTCGTAGTGCAGTCTCCATGGAGACCATGGACTCCTATGGACTCACATGCAAAGGAGGGCCAAGCACAAGCCACGAAGAGGACCAAGCTCAAGGAGCATGCAGATGGTTACCATTCAGGGGCTCGAGAGACAAGAGCCAAAGGAACTGTCACTGATCAAAGGAGGAGGAGCAGTGTCGAAGGAGTCGACACCAGGTCATGAGGAGGAGGAGCAGTGTCGACAAGAGGCACAGGGGTGCTAAGCAGGAGAGGCCCCTGAGCAATACTCGATGAAGAAGGTACTCTCTGGAGAGAGAGCAGGAGCAGCATCGCTGGCAATGCTGTGAAGAGGTATATAACCATGCTTTCTCATCATCATAGGTCGAGTGGATCCCCATCCACTCTACTCACCATAACTAGTTATCACTTCAGCATAAGTATACATTAGTTTCAGTCAGCATAGCAGCAATCTATCAAGGTTGCTCCTCATCGTAGTGTGTGTGTTGTATCACCACTACCTGACGTCCGAAGGCGCCTATAGCAGGTTAGCGGTCCGGATATAGATAGAACCGAAGGCAGTAGTCCACTGCGGTCCGGGGATCACTTCAAGCATCAAGTCAACACACTGGACACTCGTGTTGACGCCACCAACCTTATCACCAACACCATCAACCTCATTATCATCGACATCACCAATCCCATCACCAACACCATCAACCTCATCATCATTAACACTCACACCAGACCTTGGTGTCATCATAACATTGATATCGATCGTGCCGAGCTACCCCTGAACGGAGTGTCCACAGAGGTCAGCCGAAACCTACGATAGTGTATACAACGAACGCCACCTGCTGTCACTGCACAACTTGATAGTCACCGATACCGAGACAATAGCTGTCACACAGTTTGATAGTCACCGAGTATCTCGACGGACCGACCTGGGTTTCAGGCGCGAGACCCCTGACATTAGAGTGGATCGTTCAAGCAGCTCCTCACGATCACCATGACGGACCCAGACCTCAACAATAAGCTCGATAGACTACTCACTCTATTGGAAGCTCAGCTAGAGCTTACTAGGCAGGGTCATCGAGAGGAACGACTACAACGAGCTCAGCTGGGTAGGGAGGAGACAATGGACCTCTCTCACTCGGAAGACCAAGCAGGAGGAGGAGATGAGTCTATGATAGGAGACCCACATACTCCTACTCCGGCTCCACGACCAAGACGATCAGTCTCATTCAACCTGGATGAGCAGGAGGACATCAACTACGAGAAGTATGCTTCACCTACTGGGCCAAGATATGTCAAGACTAAGCTGGACCCCTACAGCAGGACTAGGACGGATCCTTACCCCCTGGACCACGAGGAGGATACCAGCATCATGGCAGAGATTAACCGGTCAAAGCCCATTGCCACCCCCTTTCCAAAGTTCAATCCCCGAGACATGGAGATCTTCATTCTAGAAGCCGAAGCATGGTTTAAGTTCAACCAGGTGTATGAGCAGTCTAGGATGATCAATCACATGGGTGCTCAACTGGAAGGGACAGCAAGAGAGTGGTGGACCTCCAAGCTCCGTATTGATAGAGCTAGAGAAGGAAGGTTGTTCAATGATTGGCACTACTTCACAGAGCGACTGTCAGAGCAGTTCAACCCACGCAATGCTAGGATGGAGGCATACAACAAGCTGTTGGCTCTCAGACTCACAAGTGATGCTCCTGGTGCCGACACACGTCATGTAGAGCGGTTCAGAGACTTGGAAGGACAGGTCAACCTAGATGACAATGAGCTAGTGATTGATCTCTTCAGAGGTAGTCTCACTCGTAGCATACAGGAGAAGTTCGAGAGGAATCCACCTGGGAAGAGATGGGAGTGGTATCGAGAGGTCGAGGAGATCGATCGACAGAGGATGCTACTACAGCAGTCCTCGGCTAGACACTCACTTCCAAATGCCACGTCACCTCCACTAAGAACTGGGTCTCGGCCAAATCAAAGTTCAATCCCCATCCGACAACCCACTCAACCTTATCCAGCTCGATCACCAACACAAGCAACTACACAAGCAACTACACAAAACCTAAACAGACCAACTAACCGACCCCTTCCTCATCAACCCACCCAACCCTCGAAGCAAGGAAGCCCTGCTCCATCAGGTATCAACACCTGTCATGTATGCAAGGGTATCGGCCATTGGGCCAGAGACTGCCCCAGCAGGGTAAACCCTCTTAGCTCTCGACCCATGGGACCAAAGGTTATGGTCACCACAGCAGACCCCTTCGAGGAGGCCACCGACTCAGGAGATGGCCCCACAGGCAGCACTGAGACGGGTGACCCCGAGGCCATGGACCTCAGCTCATACCAGCAACCCATGGACCTCGATCACGAGGAGGAGCACGATGATGATGATGACGAGGGAAACGTCAGTGGGGTGATGCACTGATGGCATGCATTGCTCTACAAACCTCCTCGCCATCACTCTGTATATATCAAGATTGTCAAGTATGTTTCTCTACCAGTGGAGGAAAAGCAGTACTGGAGCTCTCTGGAATGGTTCAAGACCATCCTGCTCGGATACTAGCTGATACCGGTGCTGGTTTGTCCATAGTCTCAGATTCTTTCATTAGTAAGTACCAAATACCCACAAAACCCATAAAAACAAGATCGATCCATGGTGTCACCGGGCACCAACTCTCCATCAATAGTTCTGCGAGCATGCAGGTATCTATTGGTACACACAATCTGGGTGTGGTCGAAGCTTCAGTGGCCGACACTGCAGACTATGACCTCATCCTGGGGTTCACTGAGCTACGGAGGCTCAAACCCACCATACAATGGGATACGGGCCAGCTGGAGTTCAAGACTCAGGAGCAGGACCGACCCCCTAGGAGACCCCCTGAAGCAGCAAGAGCAGGGGACCTAACCATGAGGAGACCAACCCTTCATGGTAACGAGTTCGTCTCAGCAGAGCGCATACTACGAGCAGCTCTGGAAGATGGACCCATAGGGTTCATGCTGTTAGAGGAGCCACCATCATCACTCCCAGCCTTTGGTTTTGTACCTACAGGCGCAGACAAAGGAGTCGAGATGGAGGTGGAGGTAGATAAGGTGGTGACGGCTGCAGACATACCAAAGCCATACCAACACCTGCGAGATGTGTTTGATGAGGTGGAAGCAGACAAGCTGCCCCATCATACCGAGCATGATCTCCACCTCGAGTTGATAGAAGGAGGTAAGCCACCTCAAGGGCCCCTATACCTTAAGGGACCCAAGGAGATGTCCGAGTTGAGGAGATACTTGGATGAGAACCTTGAGAAGGGGTTCATAAGACCATCGAAGAGCCCGGCACGATCACCAGTGCTCTTCGTACCAAAGAAGGATGGAGGTCTCAGACTCTGTGTGGACTACAGAGGTCTCAACGAGATCACTGTCAAGAACAGGGCACCATTGCCCCTCATCGAGGAGCAGCTGTTCTTACTCAGGAAGGCAAGGATCTATACCAAGCTAGACCTTAGAGCAGCATACAACCTCATCCGGATTGCTAAAGGAGATGAATGGAAGACAGCTTTTGGCACTCAGTTGGGACTCTATGAGTACCTAGTGATGCCCTTTGGCCTAGCCAATGCTCCGGCTCACTTCCAGTCATTCATCAATGACATCTTCCGAGACATCATTGGAGTATATGTAGTGGTATACTTAGATGACTTCCTGATCTTCAGTGACACTGAAGAGGTACATGTGAAGCATGTCACCGAGGTCCTCACTCGCTTAAGGAGCAACAGGCTCTTTGCTAAGCTGTCGAAGTGTGAGTTCCACACCAAGACAGTCGAGTTCCTGGGGTACATCATCAAGCCAACGGGCATAGAGATGGACCCAGAAAAGGTGCGCACTGTCAAGGAGTGGCCAATGCCAGAGTCAATCCATGACATCCAGAGGTTCCTGGGTTTTGCCAACTTCTATCGAAGGTTCATAGCCCACTTTGCTCGCATAGCCAAGCCCTTGACAGCACTGGTAAAGCCTATAGAACGGTTCAAGAAGCTCGAGCTACCAGAGGAGGCCCAACAGGCCTTCCACAAGCTCATCCAGGCCTTCACATCAGCAGGAGTGCTTCAGCACTTCGACTACCACCTTCCAACAAGGTTGGAGACTGATGCAAGTGACTTTGCTATAGCAGGAGTGCTCAAGCAGGAGCATGAAGGACGATGGCATCCAGTGGCCTTCTACTCTAGGAAGATGTCTTCTGCCGAGAAGAACTATGAGATCCATGATAAGGAGCTCCTAGCTGTGGTCGCCTGCCTCACTCAGTGGCGACACATGCTAGCTGGACTACCGAACCAACTGGTCATCCTCACTGACCATGAAGCCCTCAAGTACTTCAAGTCACAGAGACGCATCACAGGACGACAAGCTCGATGGGCAATACTACTAGCAGACTTCGACTTCATATTGCAGTATCGACCAGGAGACAAAGGTGGTGAGCCTGATGCTCTCACCAGAAGGACAGACATGCAACCAGCCGGTGAAGAGCAGGATCACAATGTAAGGCAACTACTGCCTCCTCGAGTGTTCAAGGAGACAGCAGACCATGACTCGCTCCTAGTGGCCCCCATGATCTCGATGGAGTCCATAGCATCAAAAGGTCTCAAAGACCTGGTCAAGATCTTCCAGCCTTTAGACCAAGAGCTACAGGAGATACATAGGAAGAAGCCTTTCGAACTCAAGGATGACCTATGGTACAGTGGAGGAAGGTTGGTTATCCCCAAGGTGATCATGCCAGGGAGGACCAACAACCGACACTCAAGGAGTGCCAAAGAGGTAGATGGACAGTCTCTCTCTGTAGAGCATCTGCGATTCATGGTGATGACCCAATGTCATGATGGTATCACTGCTGGACACGTAGGAAGAGATGCTACCATCAAGGCAGCTCAACGACATTACTGGTGGCCAAACATGACAGCTTGGATTGCAGACTATGTAGCAAGTTGTCCTGTATGTGCTAGGTACAAAGCTCCTCGTCATCGTCCATATGGTTTGCTACAGCCACTAGCAACCCCAGACAGGCCCTGGGGCTCCATATCCCTCGACTTCATTGAAGGACTACCACCATCAAAGAAGTATGACTCCAAGACCTATGACTCTATCCTAGTCATCGTCGACAGGTTAACCAAGTTTGCCATACTAGCTCCAACCCATAAGACAGTCACGGCCAAACAGACTGCAGTATTGCTATATGGACACATGGTTAGACTCTTCGGATATCCAGATCACATGGTCTCGGACCGAGGCAGGCAGTTCATATCAGGAGCATGGAAGGCATTTGCAGAGCAAATGGGTGTGAAGCACTCACTTAGCACGGCCTACCATCCTCAAACTGATGGTCAGACAGAGAGAGTCAATCAGGTCATAGAGCAATATCTCAGGATGTACTGCAACTATGAGCAGAATGACTGGGCCAACCTGCTGGACACTGCGGCCTTTGTATATAACAACACGGTCCACAACAGCATTGGTGTCTCACCATTCTTTGCATGCTATGGATGGAACCCCAAAGCTCATCCTGACATCCCTCAACGACTAGGAGTCAATGATCCAGGTCGCTTCGAGTACCTCATGGATGGAAAGGAGCGTTGCAAGTACCTCCAGGAGCAGATCAGAGAGGCACAACGTAGATAAGTAAACCAGTATAACAGGAAGCACAAGGACATCGAGTTTAAGGTGGGTGATATGGTCTATATCAACCGACGAAACTGGAAGACAAGGAGACCCACACCCAAGTTAGACACCCGGTTCGCAGGACCCTACCCAGTTCAGGAACGGGTAGGACGCCGAGCTTATCGAATCACATTGCCAGCAAACCTTAGGGTGCATGATGTGTTCCATGTCTCCATGCTCGAGCCAGCAAGAACAAGTTCTCTTCCTCAACGTGCTGAACAGCCCACCATACCATCACTTCCAGATGAGGACCTCGATTTCGAAGTCGAAGCACTCATCGACAAGCGTTCACACAATGGGACTACGGAGTACAAGGTGTTGTGGAGAGGGTACTCAGAGGAAGCTGCTTCATGGGAACCAGTAGAGAACCTCAACTGTCCCGACCTCATCCAGGAGTATGAGGTGTCGGAGGGGGGACGAGTGAGTAGACAGAGTGGAGAGAGGAGGAGAGAACAGGAGGAGTCAGCATGAGAGGAGGAGAGAACAGGAGGAGTCAGCATGAGAGGAGGAGAGAACAGGAGGAGTCAGCATGAACCAGACCAGAGCACGCCTCGACGGAGCTCGGCTCTTAAGAGGGGGGTAGTGTCATGGGCCTGGATGCTCAAGAAGCAGGAGGGTCATGGGTTCATATGGAAGGAGCACAGGTATCGAAGACCTAGTCGACACCAGTAGAGAGCATGGTCGTAGTGCAGTCTCCATGGAGACCATGGACTCCTATGGACTCACATGCAAAGGAGGGCCAAGCACAAGCCACGAAGAGGACCAAGCTCAAGGAGCATGCAGATGGTTACCATTCAGGGGCTCGAGAGACAAGAGCCAAAGGAACTGTCACTGATCAAAGGAGGAGGAGCAGTGTCGAAGGAGTCGACACCAGGTCATGAGGAGGAGGAGCAGTGTCGACAAGAGGCACAGGGGTGCTAAGCAGGAGAGGCCCCTGAGCAATACTCGATGAAGAAGGTACTCTCTGGAGAGAGAGCAGGAGCAGCATCGCTGGCAATGCTGTGAAGAGGTATATAACCATGCTTTCTCATCATCATAGGTCGAGTGGATCCCCATCCACTCTACTCACCATAACTAGTTATCACTTCAGCATAAGTATACATTAGTTTCAGTCAGCATAGCAGCAATCTATCAAGGTTGCTCCTCATCGTAGTGTGTGTGTTGTATCACCACTACCTGACGTCCGAAGGCGCCTATAGCAGGTTAGCGGTCCGGATATAGATAGAACCGAAGGCAGTAGTCCACTGCGGTCCGGGGATCACTTCAAGCATCAAGTCAACACACTGGACACTCGTGTTGACGCCACCAACCTTATCACCAACACCATCAACCTCATTATCATCGACATCACCAATCCCATCACCAACACCATCAAGCTCATCATCATTAACACTCACACCAGACCTTGGTGTCATCATAACATTGATATCGATCGTGCCGAGCTACCCCTGAACGGAGTGTCCACAGAGGTCAGCCGAAACCTACGATAGTGTATACAACGAACGCCACCTGCTGTCACTGCACAACTTGATAGTCACCGATACCGAGACAATAGCTGTCACACAGTTTGATAGTCACCGAGTATCTCGACGGACCGACCTGGGTTTCAGGCGCGAGACCCCTGACAGTATGCTTATCCTTTAACTTGTTTGTGATCGCCTTAGCCTTATCTCTTCCTGGGTGCCCGAGACGCTCATGCCATAGTTGTTGCTTTGAAACTTTCGGCTCATTCTTAATATGCTCGAACTCCTCATCAACACCTTCAAACAATGGTGCTGATGTGGCCATCGCGCTTTCTTGCCATGTGTCGCCTCGGAACTCCAGAAGTCCTCGCTCGCGATTCTTTGCAATCTTAAGTGTCATGCCGTTTGTTAAGAAAATTTGGCCGCCGGTTGTGTCCAATATCACTCGTGCTCCTTCATCTGTTAATGAATTTGTTGACAGAAGGTTAACATTAAGGTGCTTTACATACAATACATTTTGCAGAGGGATTTCCCCGTAATCTGTTGATATGCTCGCATCTCCTATAGCTGCCGCTTCCAAGACCTCGCTTCCGGCGGTAATTATCCGCTTTCGGCAAGTTCTCGGGTGAATGAGCATGCTGTAGTCGTTCACCATATGGTAACTCGCCACCGAGTCCAAGATCCAATGAGCTGTTTCTTTTGGGTTCGAGGGGTCCTGCCATTTCGTTGGGAGGGTGAGGGAGCACCACGCTTCCTATTTGGGTTCAGCGAGGGGAGAGTCCTTGGGAATGGTAACCAAGGCGTCACATTGGCTGATACCATGTCCCGGTCGCTTGCAGATCCAGCATCGGATTCGGCGTGGTTTGCTTGCGTTCCTCGGGCTCGCGTGGCTGTTGTCGGCTTCGGCTTCGGTCTCTCCGGCCCGTTCATTTTGATCGTCGTTGCCGGCGGTTCTAGCGCTGGCTTGTCGGGGGTCGATCCTTTGCGCGGGGACACTCTCGACAGCAGTCTGCCGGATGCTTAATGCGGTGGCAAGGGCGTTGAAGTCGATTTGATGGACGGTGGCAACCGTCTCCTTGTACACCGGATGCCGGATCGTGCATTTCTGCAGGGCCGAGAACAATGTATCATCGGCGAATGGTTTTCCGAGGAGACTGCTTTCAGTTTGTATGGACCGGATCTCTTGGATTAGCTTTCTGGCATCCGAATGAAACATCTTTGCATCGTTGAGTTGCGAGATAAGCGCAAGTCTGTGGGACGTCTTGGTGGCTTCATTCATGAGACCGTTTTCGATCTTTCTCCATACTTGGTTGAAAGTAAGGTACTCCTTGATTACATCTAGAACGAGGTAGTTTATATTGTGTTCTCCGGTGGTATCGATTGTTCCACGCAGGGCGTTAATTAAAGCATCGTCAAGGGAGCGGCTCCATTTCGGGTGTTTCTTGTCGTACGTTCCCTCGAGATGTTTCATCGCATGAGGCACGGATCGGAGGAAAGATTTCACGTGAGCGCTCCAGCTATGGTAGTTTCGTGACGTGAGCTTTGGCACAGGTTCAAGGAGCTTTGCTAGGGTGCGAAAGTTATATCGCTTGTCGCCATCATCAAAGTCGGAGTCCGAATCGGTGTCTCCGTCGGCTTCATCGTTGATGGCCTCCGGCTCGTTCTCGCTCGTGGCATTATTGTCGACCCGAACCTGGGTGTTCTTGCCTTTTCTGCTTCCTTTAGTCCTCGTTTCGGTGTCTTCTACCATGGTTGTCGGCGAGTTTTCGGTTAGCTCGGTGATAGCTTCTTCAGACTCTTAATCAATTGAAGATAACAATTAATATACGGCGTTATCGGGGTCACGATCAGACTCCCTTTGCCACAGCCGTATGTTCTATGTAATGCTTAGTTTTCATAGTGTGAGACTAAATGACAAACACATATATATACTCCATTCACTGCTCTGATCCCATCCGAGGCAGGGTGTGTTCCTTCATTTGTACCCCTGTGTTGCTATGATACCGGGTGCCACTGTGCTGTCACCATGACAACAATTGCGTACCTCATTGTGCTCCTCGCTTATGTGAGCCTCCCGTATCTCGATGTCTCGGCCGTAACACGTGCACCTTGCTTGAGATGCCGACGCATCTTCAACTGCATTTTTCAATAGTGAGCGAAGGGGCAAGTGACCAAATGCGCAGAACTCCATTTTTCGTCGCAATGCTTGCTGCACGTGACTTGGCGTGCACATCTGAGCAAGGGCCACACGTGTCGCAACCTGCTCAGTCGGTTTGGACGCTTCGTTTTGCTCCGCGCTGTCGCAACCTATTCAGCCACTTAGCCACTCAATTTGTATATATAAGCTTCATTTCGCTCTTTTCTCTCTCTCTTTCCTACCATCTCCTCTTCTCGCAAGAGTCGCGCAACACCGACCTTGCTTTTCCTTCTTTTCCCACCGGATTCCCTCCCTTACGTTCCGCCTGTACGCCCCGCTCTTCTCTGCGCTCGATCGGCCCCTTACGGCAGGCAGGGAGCCTTTGAGCCAGCGAGCCACCTCGCTGACCCGCAATCTAACAGGATTTCCATATTGTCTCGATATCAACCAATTGACCCTCATCTTACGGCCGTGTGAGCCAGGCTGGGATTGTTTTCTCTTCCAGTTGAAGGTCCGTCGGCATTCCAATCGGACTTAGGATAGAGCGAGGTCGTGAATAAACAACGTGCATACGAAATGTATGAAAGGTTGTCATGGCAACGACTCAGGAGCATTACAGGAAGCACTCGACTCATCCCAGTATGGCGTGCTCAGAAGAAGATGCTAAGGTATATATATGCCCTTGAAGTTACACTCATCCATAGAAATGATAAGCATTCAAGAAGTCATGATAAGGGAGCCTGATCGTGGCTCTAGGACAGAGTATCATACCTTGTTATCTTCAATTCTTCCGCACGCTCTTCTCTCTTCCTTCTCCATCATCTTCTCTTCGCTCGCTCGTTCTCCTCTTCTTCGCGCTTGCCTCCAGGCTGCGCTTCGTCAAGTTGTCATCACCCCTACTTGTGAAGCTTAAATGTGCCCTAGTCTATGGCCCAATCTATTCAGCGTCAACTTGAAGGATGGACACGGTAACTCGGTACTATGGGATGCACAGCCCCTGGGTTCAGAAGCTAATAGATCAAATGAGCAACCAGGGTGCTGAGGACGTCGAATGGTTCACGACGCCCGACGGCTACGTACTCAGAACCAGAGTCCGTTGGGCTAACCTCATGGTCATCTGTCACGTATGAGGCCATGATACCATCAGACGCAGCAGAAAGATACGATCAGTTCCTAGCCACCTCGTTCGTGCCTCGAAACCTACCCCTCAGCGTCACAGTGATCCGTTGTTGGTCGACCGACGACGGACCAGGATTAAGCCTAACGCTGTGGAATACGTCATCTAAGTACCTCAGGGTTCCGCCCTTGCCAGTCGTCGCCCTGATGCCACAGTACGTCTATTCATCCGAGGCTATCCCATCCGAGGCTACTGACGGTGCTAGAGCCACCGGCTCCATCGGCAAGTGTGGCAAGTACTTCACTACGGGTCCTGGAGGTATTGAGTTCACTGTGGAGGCCTACATCGGCTCTGATATGGTTGATCCCCCTGTGATCGTCGAGATTAGTGACCCGAGGGATATCACTGCGGCACTTGAAGCTTCATACAAGATCGAGGTGGCCGATCTTGGCGTCGTGTATGACGACGATTCGTACACCCGTACGTTCCCCATCGGCGACACCATCATCGAGCATAGGCCCCCAAGATGTGCATCTCGGAAGTCCGTGCTACGTTTGATGGCACTAGCAAGTTCACTACCGGGTACGGTGTTAGCTACGTGTCGCTCGGTATCCCGACTGAGGTCATGGATATGCTCATCGATGCGATCAACGCTGACTTCAGCGAGCATGACTGGGCCCGAGGTGCTAGCGCATGTGAAGTCCCTAAGCTTCAGACCCACGATGGCTATTCGTGGCTGCCTGTCAAGATTCCCAAGGAGTTGCCTGGCTGTGTACGTACTAAGGGACAGTTTGTGAAGGTTCCGGACGTGCCTCGTTTCATCCGTGACCAAGGCAAGAGCATCATGTGCAATGCCTTCGTGTCGATGAGACTGAAGCGTGTGACCAAGACCTCGATTCGCAATGCTGCGCAGTGGGAGCTTGCCATGACCGTGTCATACGTCCAGGTCATTGATTTCACTACCAAGCAGTCACCCCCGTTCTACAACATGTTGTCCTTTAAGGGCCGTAACAGGGATGCTACGGATGATGTCATTGCCACCGTCAATGAATGCTAAAGATAACGATCCAGTGGAGAGCTAAAGTGACGAAGGATCGGGCAAGATCGATCTAGAGCGTAATCGGGGAAGAAGATCTGATCATGAATTAAACGGGGCTGATCTGACGAGAGATCGGATACAACACAGTCCCACTCGTTGTCAGGATAGGTCATGAAACAGCATACTCCCACGATAGGTATCAGCCTCATGAATGTATATACAGCACGCGTGTAAACTGTCCCATGATTTTACATGTCACCATACATCACTCTAATGCTCAATAGCTATAAGTTGTATTGCCACACTGTCTGATATTGTCTGAAAGCCCTGCTTCTTCTCTCCAAGATGTCACAGGGCCAGCGGGCCAGCGCAAGAAGGGTGCACCAAATTGACCGATGGCATTCATGGTAATGTCATGCAGGATCAGTGGATCAACATATGAAGGGTGCACCAAGTTGATTGGCACCAAATCATCAGGGATCAATGGAGCTAATTGGGCTGGTAGTGCATATGATATATGAGATCAACCAAACTCTGGGTTCCAGGTTAATCTCATGAGGATCAATCAGAATCAGCCAGATCAGCATGCCTCAGCAAGTTGGCCAATACGAGCAAGTACCAGGAGATTCAGGAAGGAAGGTACTGGCATTAGAAGGAGAAGCATATGGAGATAACTGTCATGGGCCTGAATGCTCAGGAAGCAGGAGGGTCACTGGTTCATATGGAAGGAGCACAGGTAGAGATCTAGTCAATACCAGTAGAGAGCATGGTCGTAGTGCAGTCTCCATGGAGACCATGGACTCCTATGGACTCACATGCAAAGGAGCACTGAGCCATATGCGAGGAAGGCCAGGCACAGCCACAAGGAGGACCAAGCTCAAGGAGCAGGCACAGCCACAAAGGGGACCAAGCTCAAGGAGCATGCAGATGGTTACCACTCAGGGGCTTGAGAGACAAGAGTCAATGGAATGATCACCAGTCAAAGGAGAAGGAGCAGTGTATAGGTAACCAGCAAGCAGGTTCTGAGGAGGAGGAGCAGTGTTGAAGGAGTCGACACCACTCAGGAGGCACAGGGGTGCCAAACAAGCAGGATAGCAAGGAGGAGGAGCATGTCAGGGGTCTCGCGCCCGAAACCCAGGTCGGTCTGTCGAGATACTCGGTGACTATCAAACTGTGCGACAGCTATTGTCTTGGTAGCGGTGACTATCAAGTTGTGCAGTGACAGCAGGTGGCGTTCGTTGTATATACTATCGTAGGTTTCGGCTGACCTCTGTGGACACTCTGTTCAGGGGTAGCTCAGCACAATCAATATCAATGCTATGATGACACCAAGGTCTGGTGTGAGTGTTGATGATGATGAGGTTGATGGTGTTGGTGATAAGGTTGGTGGCATCAACACGAGTGTCCAGTGTGTTAACTTGATGCTTGAAGTGATCCCTGGACCACAGTGGACTACTGCCTTCGGTTCTATCTTGATCTGGACCACTAACCTGCTATAGGCGCCTTCGGATGTCAGGTAGTGGTGATACAACACACACACTATGATGAGGAGCAACCTTGATGGATTGCTGCTATGTTGACTGAAACTAATATATACTTATGCTGAAGTGATAACTAGTTATGGTGAGTAGAGTGGATGAGGATCCACTCAACCTATGATGATGAGAAAGCATGGTTATATACCTCTTTACAGCATTGCCAGCGATGCTGCTCCTGCTCTCTCTCCAGAGAGTACCTTCTTCATCGAGTGCTGTTCAGGGGCCTCTCCTGCTTGGCACCCCTGTGCCTCTTGAGCTGTGTCGACTCCTTCGACACTGCTCCTCCTCCTCATGACCTGGTGTCAACTCCTTCGACACTGCTCCTTCTCCTTTGATCAGTGACAGTTCCTTTGGCTCTTGTCTCTCGAGCCCCTGAGTGGTAACCATCTGCATGCTCCTTGAGCTTGGTCCTCTTCGTGGCTGTGCTGGCTCCTTGAGCTTGGTCCTCCTCGTGGCTGTGCTTGGCCCTCCTCACATATGGCTCGGTCCTCCTTTGCATGTGAGTCCATAGGAGTCCATGGTCTCCATGGAGACTGCACTACGACCATGCTCTCTACTGGTATCGACTAGATCTTCGATACCTGTGCTCCTTCTATATGAACCCGTGACCCTCCTGCTTCTTGAGCATCCAGGCCCATGACAGAGCAGTGTCAAAGGAGTCGACACAGCTCAAGAGGCACAAGGGTGCCAAGCAAGCAGGATAGCAAGGAGGAGGAGCAGTGTCGAAGGAGTCGATAGCTCAAGGAGGACAGGAGTGGTGCCATAAGGGCCCCCTGTACAGTACTTGATGAAGAAGGTACTCTCTGGAGAGAGAGCAGGAGCAGCATCACTGGTGATGCTGAGAAGAGGTATATAACCATGCTTTCTCATCATCAAAGGTCGAGTGGATCCTCATCCACTCTACACCCTTCATAACTAGTTATCACTTCAGCATAAGTATATATTAGTTTCAGTCAGCATAGCAGCAATCTATCAAGGTTGCTCCTCATCATAGTGTGTGTGTTGTATCACCACTACCTGATGTCCAAAGGTGACCCATAGCAGGTCAGCAGTCTGGATATAGATAGAACCAAAGGCAGTAGTCTGCTGTGGTCCAGGGATCACCTCAAGCATCAGTCAACACACTGGACACTCGTGTTGATGCCACCAACCCTATCACCCACACCACCAACCTTAGCACCAACACCATCAACCTCATCATCATCAACACTCACACCAGACCTTGGTGTCATCATAACCTACACATTGATATTGATCATGCCGAGCTACCCCTGAACAGAGTGTCCACAGAGGTCAGCTGAAACCTATGACAGTATATACAACAAATGCCACCTGCTGTCATTGCGCAACTTGATAGTCACCAAGCAACATAGCTCATCGAGACCAATACCAAGACAATAGCTGTCGCACAACTCGATAGTCACCGAGTATCTCGACAGACCGACCTGGGTTTCAGGCGCGAGACCCCTGACAATAACCACATGTAGGAGCAGGGGACCAAGCTCAGCATCACATGGACAGTTACCACTTGAGGGGTGCATGCATATAGCCACACAGGACCAAGCACAGGGGGCAACTGCATGACCAAGGGGTTGTCATGGGCCTGAATGCTCAAGAAGCAGGAGGGTCACTGGTTCATATGGAAGGAGCACAGGTATCGGAGATCTAGTCGATACCAGTAGAAGAGCATGGTCGTAGTGCAGTCTCCATGGAGACCATGGACTCCTATGAACTCACATGCAAAGGAGCACTGAGCCCATATGTGAGGAGGCACAGCCACAAAGAGGACCAAGCTCAAGGAGCATGCAGATGGTTACCACTCAGGGGCTCGAGAGACAAGAGTCAAAGGAACCATCACCGGTCAAAGGAGAAGGAGCAGTGTATAAGGAACCGGCAAGCAGGTCCTGAGGAGGAGGAGCAGTGTCGAAGGAGTCGACACCAGGTCCTGAGGAGGAGGAGTAGTGTCGAAGGAGTCAACACCACTCAGGAGGCACAGGGGTGCCAAACAAGCAGGATAGCAAGGAGGAGGAGCAGTGTCGAAGGAGTTGACACAGCTCAAGAGGCACAGGGGTGCCAAGCAAGCAGGATAGCAAGGAGGAGGAGCAGTGCTAGAGGGGCCCCTGTACAGTACTCAATGAAGAAGGTACTCTCTGGAGAGAGAGCAGGAGCAGCGTCGCTGGCGATGCTGTGAAGAGGTATATAACCATACTTGCTCATCATCAAAGGTCGAGTGGATCCTCATCCACTCTACACCCTTCATAACTAGTTATCACTTCAGCATAAGTATATATTAGTTTCAGTCAGCATAGCAGCAATCTATCAAGGTTGCTCCTCATCATAGTGTGTGTGTTGTATCACCACTACCTGATGTCCAAAGGTGACCCATAGCAGGTCAGCAGTCTGGATATAGATAGAACCAAAGGCAGTAGTCTGCTGTGGTCCAGGGATCACCTCAAGCATCAGTCAACACACTGGACACTCGTGTTGATGCCACCAACCCTATCACCCACGCCACCAACCTTAGCACCAACACCATCAACCTCATCATCATCAACACTCACACCAGACCTTGGTGTCATCATAACCTACACATTGATATTGATCGTGCCGAGCTACCCCTGAACAGAGTGTCCACAGAGGTCAGCTGAAACCTATGACAGTATATACAACAAACACCACCTGCTGTCATTGTGCAACTTGATAGTCGCCGAATGACTAGCTCGTCGAGACCGTCGAGACCGCTACCGAGACAATAGCTGTCGCACAGTTTGATAGTCACCGAGTATCTTGACAGACCGACCTGGGTTTCAGGCGCGAGACCCCTGACACATTCCTACTACAGATCTCAATGAATTCTGCTGCAAATCCCACGATTTGCCCAATTCCTTGATTCCTGCGCTCCCTTCATATGAGTTGATGGATCTTCTTACTTCCTGTGCATCCAGGCCCATGACACCTCTATCTGTTCGAATCTCATGTAATCATACTGTAATCCAATTGGTCAAGTCTAACTTTGTCTCTTTGCTTTGTGTCTAGACTAGAGTGATTGTGCAAACTGTCTCATGCTGTGCAGAATGCTGTGCAGCCCAAAATCCGAAAAATTAAGATGATGAGGAGACACCTAGTCTGTGTTTGAGCTTTCTTCATCACCATGCCTGCTTTCACCATCTCCTCACCTCAACTCCACCTATCTCCTTGCTCTTGCCTTATTCAACATGGTTCACTCTTCTGACAAGCAGGAGCTTCTGGAGGACATCAAGACAGCAATTCTGGCAACTTTGCTTGTTGAGACTGAGCTCAAATGTGAGCTTGCTTCTACTGCAGACACCTGGCATCCAAATGATGACCTTGACAACTCAGATGATGGTGATTTCAACCATGTTGTCTCACAAGGTTTAATCACAACCCATTCCATCATCAACCAGGAATGATACTCCCTCCCATGCATCTATATTCATCAACACAACCAGCCACTACTTG